AACAAGAGTTGATGTACTTGCGTATGAAACGGGTCATTTTGGGAAACCAAAACTGTAACTTAATGGAATTTTCACATTTTCCAAAACCCGGGTGCCCTATTTGGTCATGCATCTTTTGTAACAACCCATACTTAGCTAATTTTGGAATTACAAATCTCTCCCCGTCCAAAGTTTTTCTAAACAAGATACCATCTTTCTCTATGTAATTAGCTCTGATATCCGGATTCGTTTCTGGATTACGCAGTTGGGACAAAATACTTTGGATGTTTTCATCCTGCATTTGCAAAGTAAGTAACCAATCAGAGTTCTCAATAATAAGTACTGAAGGTGGAATTGGATTTCTACTCAGAGCGTCAACGTGTTGCATACGTTTTCCAGGCCTATATTCTATCTCTAAATTAAAATCTTGGATTGTTAGCCACCACCGGGCGATGCGAGGAATTAGGTCCTTTTTTACCAAGGTAGTTCTGAGGGCAGCACAATCTGTAACTACTTTTACTGGTATTCCAGTTAAGTAAATTCGGAACCGTTTAAGTGACTCCACTACTGCAAGCGTTTCGAGCTCATAACTATGATAGTTCTTTTCTTCGATAGAAGTGACTCTACTAAAGTAAATAATTGGTTTTAAACTACCGTCCCTCTGCTCCTGCAAAAGTATCCCTCCTAAGCCGTTCTTACTGGCGTCAGTATGAAGCTCTGTCCTAGCATCCTTATCATACAGCCCTAACACCGGCCTCTCTATCAGTCGATTTTTCAATGACTCGAAAGCGACGTCTTGATCTGGGCCCCAGTGCCACTCAACTCCTTTTTTTGTGAGTTCTGTGAGCGGGCGAGCTATTTCAGCGAAACCTTTGATAAATTTTCTAAAATAGGACGTTAAACCTATAAACTGTCTTATTTCATGGACATTCCTGGGTCTTTTATAATCAGCAACACATTTAACTTTCGCTTGTCCTGGTTGTATCGTACCTGCGCTAATTTCATGACCTAAATACGAAGCAGTAGACTTTAAGAAAGAACATTTTTTTAAATTTAGTTTTAAGTTTGCTTCCTTTAATAACTGCAAAACTCGCTCTAATAATTTTAATCCCTCTTCTACACTTAGAGACGGGATCATAACATCGTCCAAATAAAGGGCTATTTCATTGCGAACTTTACCTAGAGTCATCTGGATGAGTCTTGAAAAAACAGCCGGTGCGTTCGCCAGACCGAATGGCATTTTTAGAAATTCATACTGCCCTGACGGTGTAACGAACGCAGTTTTGTTAGTAGACTCTTCACCAATCGGGACCTGATAGTAGCCTTGGGCAAGGTCTAATGCTGTAAAGAAACATTTCCCAGACAACCGAGTCACTTGGTCTTCGATGTGAGGTAGTGGATAACGGTCTTTCACTGTTCGCGAATTTAGGGCCCTATAATCGACACAAAGCCTATAATCTCCCCCCTTCTTCTTGACTAAAACAACTGGGCTAGCGTACTCTGAAAATGATTCCCTAATTATGCCAGCGTCTAATAGATCCTTCACTTTTTCATTTACTATTTCGTTCTCCTTATAGGATAGTCTATAGGGCTTACAGTAAACAGGCTGGTTAGTGTTAGTCTGAATATGCATTTCAATCAAATCTGTGCAACCCAAATCTTTAGTATCCCTAGCAAAAGAATCAACATATCTATTAAGCAACTGCAGTAGTATTTTCATTTCAAAGTCATTAATGTCGCCCACATTAATATCTGACTGCCGAATGTTTGATCTACTAGGCTCACCCTTACTAACCATACAAATGTTAGAACTTATTTTAAAATCTTGACTGTTAATCAATTCCACCCTTGCTACCAGCCTATTAGCTTCCCATATAATGTCTTCGTCCCCTACATTAATTATTTTTAGAAAAGGATGATTTAATTTAATAATAGTCTCTGGAATAAAATATGACATATTCCCTAATTCGAAATACACTGCATGAGTAAGACACGTAAGCTCTGGATCAGTATTGTTGTTACATTCTATTACCGTCTCAACAAATGCGTGACTGCGCTTAGGAATTTTAACCTTATTTTTTAAATATACGGGAAATTTTGTAATCATTTCATCTTGAGTCAGCTGAAATGATGGTAACACTTCCATAACATTGCTAGAAGGAACAAAATTCGCAGAGGTAGCCGTAGTAACTAAGCTAATGTTATCCTGATTTATCATTGTTTGTCCAATTATTAAGTCTATGTCAGCTATACTGCAATTTGTTACTTCCACATTACCTTTCAATCCTATACCATCAATCAATACCATAATTTCGCATCTGCCTAGTGATCGTAAACAACTTCCCCCAAATCCTTTCATTACTGTGGCTGACGGCTGAATTTTAAGTTGTAAGTTCTTCGCGGCACTAATTGTGATAATATTAAGCTTACTGCCAGTATCAATATAAGCAATTAATTTTATCCCATTTACAACCACTATGCGCTTGTAAATATCTAAATAAATATCATAAGTGATATGTAATATATCGCTAACCTGTTGTACTTGTTGACCTGAAGAACCCGGAGCGAACCAGCAGGATGCCGTTGTGTGTCCAACACGGCGACAAGTCTCACAGCGCTGCTGGAACCTGCAGTCCCGTGCCTCGTGCCCGCCGCGACGACACACGAAGCACACCCTCGGAGCAAGCTGTGTCGTTGTTGCAGACGAAGAATTTGCGTTTCCTCTCTTCCATATAGTCTTGCGTGATGTATAAGCTGCATCCACCCGTTTGAAATTTTCTAGCGAAGACAGATATCCAAAATACAGTTGTTCAGGCGTTTCACACTTATAGGCCTTTGCATTATTTCGTAGCTCTGCCGGTAGTCCTCGAATAATGCATGAAATGGCGTCTACTCCGTCGATTTTGCACTTTCTAAGTAATGACAATTTATCGTGGTAATATTTTGTCATTGCTTCGTTATCCGCTTTTGATCTGGATAACATATGTTCTAACTTGTCAACAAAGTCTGTAGATCGAGGGAACGCCGTTTGCAACGCTGTTTTCCACTGCTTCCAAGTCAGATTGTAATCTTCTAAATCTTCATACCAATCCCTCGCAGATCCACGCAGGCGTAATTGCATAATAAACTGCCGATCCTTACTGTTCCAACCATAAATATCACCAAGTTGATCAATCTTATGTAACCACCCAATCACGTTGTTGTTTTGTTCTTCTGGTCGGTATTTAGGTATTAATTCTGCGTCGGTTGGGGTGACGCGGCGTTTTTTATAAGATGTTCGAGAGCTTCTATGTAGACTGGATGAAAGAAAAAAATCTGTATTTTCTTCTTGTTCTTGACTGCCAGCTTCTATTCCATCTTCAGTGCTGATGGATTCCGAGTCGCTGTGTTTTCTTTTTCGGAGCCCCAGTCCATTAATGTATGGGCCAGACATTTTGATTCCTTATCCCACTTCTGAAGTGTAAATAGATGTGGGTCAGAGTGGCGAAATAATCACGCGGGTCTTGGTTTTTCACAAGTGTTTATTCGGGTAGAATTACCCCGTAACAAAACGAATAGTCGAATGTCCAATCTTCACCGAGTCACAACCTTTTACATGTATTCGAAAAAAAAAACCCCCACCGTTAAAAGCATTGACAATCAAAAATTAGTAACTACCATCAACTTACAAGATCTTTTCCACAGACTATAACATTTTAATGTTTAATGAAATATTAACCACGCAATTATGTAGCAATTTTCGAATCAACCCAAATACACGCTATGTTCGAACTAATGAATCGAACTAGTGAGATTTCTTTTTCCCATTAGTTCGACCGCCGAACTTGTAAGAATGTTTTTTCCCATTAGTTCGACCATCGAACTTGTAAGAATGTTTTTTCCCCATTAGTTCATGTCCGTCAGGATGACTGGACCAAACGCAATATTTAGATGAGACCATGTGCACTCTTGAATACCTTTTTTCTACTATTTGATACCATTCATAAAACATTTGCTACCTTTGTGTTAATATCAGTAATAAATAAATTAAACGACCAGTCATTCTGACGTCAGGTTGGCTGGCCACTGATGAGTTTTCATAGTTTTAGCGTTATATTTACCACTTTGGTAATGTAAATATTCACTACCTACATGCTACTTTAACATATATTTTTTTCACAATTTTGGAAAGCTTCTTGAAAAATCATCAATAAAATTCATTGAAACGCCTGCACAGAATTATTGAAATTTTATGTCAGAATAATTGCTAGTAACCTTTTTTGCAGGCGCTTAGTGACAAGTTAGTGCTCTAGATATTTTGTATTTATATAAAATTAGTCCGACCGTCCTTCTAATTTAGATTTAAAAATTGTCTTACTATATTTAAGTTTTAATGATTTAGTAATACATAAGATGAACACACGTTTCCGACTATCGACCTTAGGGTGGCTGTTTCAGGGTGGATAAACGGCATAAGCCAAACAAATACATTGTATTGTACAATGCAACAAGAGTACAATTCTGTTTTATTTAATGAAGTTGTGTTTTTAATAGTAGGTAAATAAGTTTTGTGCAAATTTGACTAGCATTTGTCACAAATTTACCTTCTCATACATTCTTTGTATTAAAATAGTTTTCATTGACTTAAGTTTTATTTTATGAACACTTAATATGTCATACCTAATATTAAATAACTTATCCCTACTAATAGCGATAAATGGAAATAAAAATCAAAGTATACCAACCAGTGCAAATCGGTGGAGATATGTGGTAACATATTCCATATATCCCTACCGGTAGCTATAACTGGAAAAAAAACCTAGTATCCCTACCAGTGGGGATTTGTCAGTAGGGATATGTATGTAGAATAGAGGAAGAATTCATTTCAAAATCGTTGATCTGCCTGCTATCTTCATGAATAGTGGTCAACGATATAGACTGGCAGCCTATATCGTTAACAAACTGATAAATATATGGAATTGAATAGGTACATTCAGAATTTCATTCAAAAATCCTAATGGACACTAACAGCTTCTGCTTTCACAGGTATTCCAAGTCCGTTTTCTTTAATGGTATTTTTGACCCACCCATCGTGATGTCTAAAAGTACTGCAGATAATAAATACCTAGGAAGTGAATTAAGATTGATAAACACACAAAAAGTCAATATTTTATTTACACATTTGTTTTATTGCGACATACAAGTATTGTATATCTCCAGAAGTTTTGTTCATGTCCAATTACTTAATCTAATTGTTAATTTCATCCCTATTCAATGGAAGAAACTAGTTTGTATAAAATACATGATTCCTATTCTTGCTCATACCAAAATTAAAATTACAAAACTACAACATTTCTGCAATGAGATCCAGCACATTCAACTGAACAAGCACAGAGGCAGCGCGACGCGACGTTATTCGGCAGACTCGCTGGGCCTTCAGGGGGACACGTACGTTAAGTTTCATATTTATTTAAGCTCCGTGTTATAATAATTAACACTTATACATTTCAGTTCCAAGGTCAAAAATGATTCTTTCTATTCAGCAATAATACTCAAGTGAATCTATAATCCATACTATATTAATAATAAATTTGCACGCAACGCGATCTTTCAGGTAGGCGACCGGGTTACATACGACAAGTATTTTTATCCTTAAAAAAATTTCTTAAACAGATTCCTTAAATTAATTATGTGGAATGAAATGACGTGCCCCCAGCGCGGCGAGACGAGAGGCGCGGGGGACACACTCATGACCGATGACTTAATCTGAAACAAAATAATACCATATACTTAGCAGATATTTATAAAATCCTTAAACTTTTCTTCTTTTCTAAATATATTTATATATTTTCTGCATAATTCTTTTTAGTTCAGTATTAAATATACTTCAAGAAGCAACTAATTCAAGAAATCACTGTAGCACTGTCATCACAAAGCCTCGATTTCAGTCTTACACAGGTGGTTTTGGAATTAAGAAAAGTACAAAATATCAACTGATTATTATATATTGAGAACAATAAAGTTTTTATTTAAATCGAAAACATGTTTAGTGACATTTAGGTACAGTTTGAGACATTCTTAACTTTAAATTTTCAATTCCGAAACCAGGGGGGTAAGTATCACACAAGGCAAACCTCTAATAAATATCAACAAGCAGTGGTATATATACCTACCTTACTATTGGACTGAGATGACTATCGGGCAGGTACATGGTCTAGTATGGTTGGTGCCTCTGGTTGGCTCGGCCGCCGCCGCCTCCGCCGCGCTGCTTGCCGCCCTGGTACCCCGCTGCAACACCACACACGTAAGCCCTCCTCGCAACACTCCCACACACCTCACACTCTACTACTCGGTACTCGCACACGTGCCACAACACAATCACCCAACTAATAGTGCCTCACCTTCGACGTCAGACCACGTTATCACAGATTCGTTACACATTTAATATTTATGTACATAATAGTGTTTAAACATATATCGCCTAATTCATAACAACATTAGTTCTCTTCTACGACGTCGTCTAGTTTTCTCATGTTTTTATATTTTGGAATGCATTATATTGTTGAATAATGCAATTGCAGACTGACAAGTCAATTTATGATGGCAGTAGTTCCATGTGGTTTTTGTTATCTGAAATAACGAAGTCTGTCGGTTCAGTTTATGTATAGAACTGCTCGGTTTTTCTTGCAAGTCATGCAATTTTTTTAAGTTGCACTAAAAATAACTAAATGATTCAGAAAAAACATCGACAAATTACCATACTTATACATATTCAGTGAGATCACTATTACTATGAAAAGGTGTAAAATGGGATAAATCATAAGAACTTCGATTGATTTTAAATACTAATGTTATTAGTAAATTATATACATGCTCAAATGCTAATTAATCAGTATGTAATCTTAACTAATACAGTATCAATTATCAGTTACGATCACACACAAAGTCCGGCCACGCTCGCCAGCGCGCAAACAAAATTTTGATAATAAACTGTGCCAGATGTGTTGCAACTACGAAGCGGGGCAAACAGACGTTCTACATCACTACACAAATATCACATTTACAACAACGCTTCAAACGTCTTCTCGATCATATCAGTTCAAAAATGATATCGTCCAAATTGAGAACCTATCGATAGACGTCAATGACGTTTGCGCGTCACTCTGTTTTCTAATAAGCAGATCGCCCTATGTAGGGAGCGAGGGCATAAGCGAATTTCCAAGCACAATTTTCAAAGGCCAAAAATTGTTTCATAATTCGTTCACCCTCCCTCCTGTCCATGGCTACCTGTATACTAGAATAACGATTCGAGGTTCGGTTTAGTACAAGTTAGGGTGAGGGCAGTACCTTTCCCGCGTGGAGCCGCGCGTGCGCCGTAACCGCCCTCGTACCCTCCGTACCCGCCGTAGTCTGCCCGCAACACAACACACATTAGTCTCCCCGCCTACTGTGCCTACTAGCAACGATCCTTTAACTCCCCAGACCTAAATCCATGGCACTACCCTTCTTTTGACCAAAACAGAACCAATGCAATCCTAGCCGTAGACAGGCGGCTTGGAGACTTAACCTGGGTTCCACTTTATTCATCTTGATGCGACGACGAAGTTTTCGAGACGCTAAGTGTGCATTGGGACTAGTTAATTTCTATCAGAGCCTAATCAAAACTTAATTGGTTGTTCCCAACTGCAGATTCCAAACTGTCAACTAAACGACTATACTAATCTATCTTTTGAACCACTGCATGTATTTGTATCACTTACTGTTAATGTTGAAGTTAAAAATAGCTAGACTTTATAACAGACATTCAGAATGTATGTAACTACATGATATTGAAATAAATTTAACTGAATACTTAAGTTCTGATCTGATAATAAAGACTTCTCAAATTTTGCTAATGTTCTTTGTTATTACTATATTAGCATGAACTTGTTGAGTAAGCTACATTAAAATCTTCCCAGAATTACAGAAGTTAGAACGAATATTGTTTATCTTCCAAATTACATGATGAGGAACCCATGCAATTGTTAGTATTTATAACTTGAACCAAGCAACCATTGTGCGTAGTCATGGGGCGAGATGGTGAGGTATATCTAAGGAGGAAAAGGACTAAGGGTACATATGGAAACACATTGAGAATTTTTGTAACAGTGCTTTATTTAAAAGCTTTCATCATAGTATCTTTATCATTTTCACAATGTCTCTCCATATTTACCCCATTTCCCAGATGTAGCATGTGGCGGAGTATCAAAAGGTAAAACAAAAATACCAAACAAAACTCAGGCGACATTGCTACATATGTCAAAAGTGGTATTACAAATAAAACATACTTAAACATAAGGCAGGTAACATATGTACAGAATATAGTACCCAGTGAAATTATGATAAAGAGAAATCAGTGAGTTGGCTAAACTGAACTACTAAAGAAATGACACTGAAAGACTACAATGACACCGAGCAATAGAGGCAAACTGAGTTATGAAAACAAACAAAAATATAATGGAACTATGATTAAAATCAATTCAAATGAAGTATAATACTATTCAGTGAAAACGATTAGACTGATTTATGGTTATATTCAGATATACATCGTCGCCTCCACATCATTCACTACACATTATCTCGATAGAATATTAAATATTTAGAAAAATAAATATTTTCTACACACTAAGTTAAATATCTAAGCTTCGCGTGATGTCGATCTCTCCGAATCAAATGTAAGATATACATTATACACATGTAAATAGGCAACATCGAGGACGGAGGATGGCCCCGCTCGAACCGTCATTCGTAACCTAACACACGGGGCTCGAGCCCCGCCTTACTCTACTACGATACATTTACATCCTAGGGATCAGGTAACATCAGTCGAGGTAATGTGTCCGTGAGCGGCCGCTACACCACTAGTACTGCTTGCCACGTTTACCGTAATTGGGGTAGCCGGAGTAATCGTAACCGCCATAGCCCCCGTAGCCATCGTAGCCGTAGCCGCCGTAACCGTAGCCGTCGTACCCGCCGCCATAGCCACCCTGGCCGTACCCATAGCCGCCGTAACCCTGGCCGCCCCACGCGCCCTGGCCGCCGTACCCGCCGCGACCACCGCGCCCTCCTCGGCCCCCGCGCCCGCCGCGACCCCCTCGTCCACCCATGCCTCCAGGGCCGTCGGGCTTAGGTGTCGCCCTTTTAACGTCCACCTGAACAGTTCCATATTCATTAGCAACACATGGGTAACAGGACAAACAAATCAAATTAAAGCAGATACACAAATACACACAAACCTCTTTGCCGGCGATGGTCTGTTTTGGGGTCTTAAGAAGCTCATTGACTACTTGCTCAGATTCAAATGTGATGAAACAGAATCCTTTCCTTTGATTTTTTGTCTTGTCGAAAGGCATCTCGACGTCTAGAATCTGGAAGAACAAAATTACCAATGTTAAGAAATATCATTTAAATCAATTTAATAAACATTAAAGACTTGTTTCTCAGTGGCCCGGTTTCCTCTTCACTAACAAATCAAGAAACAAATCATCTCACCAATTCCGGATTTTTCATCATATATCATTTAAAATACATTTGCACAAAATGTAGAGAAAAATTAAAAAATAAGCTTACTGTGCCAAAGTTTCCAAAGAAGTTCTTAATCTCATCATCTGATATTTCAGTGCTCAGTCCTCCAACAAATATTTTCCCATGTCTTGCTTTTGCTTTTTTGGGGTCTACTTTTTTGTTGTTGATTGTGTGTTCCCCTGCAGCCATAACTTTATCAATGGAATCTGGTGCTTTGAATACGATAAATGCAAACCCTCTGGATCTGCCAGTGTTGGGGTCAGTCTTGACATTAATGCTTTCAATTTCTCCATATGCACTAAAATGGTCACGTAACTCCTCTGCAAAAAAAAAAAAACAACATTAGTAATTTGCTGAAATATTATAAATATATCTCACATGAAGTTTGAACAAATCAGGATTGTGGGTAAAAGTTGTCTTCAAATAAATTCAGAAGCAGAACTGAATAAGTCATCACAGTAAATAATTGATATATTAAGCTAAAATTATTTTAAAGAAAATGATATAATACTCACTATCTGTTGTTTCCCAGCTTAAGCCTCCCACAAAGAGTTTTCTGAGAATCAGAAGTAATATACATTAATGATTGAAGAAATAAATAAATGCCTGGTGTCTCGATTCAGAAACTGACTTAAAAATTACAATTTAATATTAACACTATGCAGTACTTGTTTACAGTACTTTACAGCTACTTTTTTGTTCAAAACAAACTCCAAGCACTGCAGCAAAACAAATTGTGAACCTGTAAGTTACAAAGGTAAACTGGAAATTTAAAATTACAGATAGAACAACCAAAAATGAAACAAGAATTACAGTGAAATCGCAAGATTTGAAATTGGCAAGTGTGAACAAGGCCCAAAGTTAAGTGGCCTAGGCAATCTAGTCAGTTTGGTCGTTGTTTACTTTAGTGTGAGCCCAGCAGATATATACCATGACGTCCTTCGGCGGCTGCTGCGGCGGCGGCGCAGGCTCACACCTGCAGAGAGACACAGCGTTAGTAGCGACCCAAACTGACCGCGCCAGGCCGCCGCCCCGCCGCGGCGTCGGGGCGACGACCCTCATGACGCACTTTGCGATACCACCGATTTAAAATCTTGCAAATACTACGCTCGTTACCGCGAAATCACTGACATCGTACGACCCATCCGCAATAAGATAACTAAAAAAATCGATAACGGGACTACACCGGTGCCGGGTGCAAAAGAGACGCGCGAATATGACGCCATTTTACTTCTCATGCGGCCGGCGCTATTATGGATTTTAGCAAGTGACCTGAAAGTTATCAGAAAACTAAAACTATGACATCCGATAGTACATTATGAATGCAATAAACGCTCTGTAAATGTGAACGAGTAAAATTTTGAAAAGATTACCATGATTGCAATAGATTTATCTTGCCGATAATGATAATGCCGAACGGCCGCCATTGTGACGGGCACAAACTAGAACTGCGAAGGAGGTTCGTTGAAGTGTTAAATAGCGATACCACGAGCTATTTTCACATGATAATGTTTAACCCAACTGAAAATAAACACTAGAATTAGAAAATTAACAATACCTGTCGTCATCGCGTCCAGAGGCGTCACCGCCGTTATCTTGTTGACCGTCTCCACCACCGTTCTCCATATTTCCGTTTAGTTGATTATCCGTAACGTCTTGTGCAAAATTATCGTTTGACATGACTTAAAACTACTTTAACTAGTTTTTAATAAATAAAAACTAAAATTACTGTCTACACGCACGACCTTCAACTCTGAATGCCAAATGAAGAAGAATGAAAGGAAATGCGTGATGAGTCGGCGCGAATTACTTTGTTATATTGGCGACCCTGTGAGGACGCTTCATTTACACAATGACTGCAACCCCCCTCCACACGATAAGCCAATCACGGCTTAGTAGTAGGAGAGGTCAATGGCATTCAAACATTAAAGACAAGGAGAGCACGAGACAGTCCAATGGGTGTAAATGAAATAGATCATGAGTATTACAATCAATAACGCTATTACCAACACATAAATATTTTACCGCGTATTCCGTATGTCGTTTAGAAACTGTCCCTTCATTCCAGCTCATTTGTGATTTGATTTTAGAAAATAAAATGAAATGCTATTAATTTTAAGAAAACCTTTGTTCTTATAAAAATAATTGTGTATCGGCATTCTTAAACCCGTGTTTATATCTATTATGTAAAACTCGCATATTATGTTAGTTAGACGGCGAGTTGCTCAAACGTTCATTAAATTTTAATGTCTAATGAATGTTTTATTTGCATTGGTATTGACGCTTTAAACTAAAGCTTGACGCTTAAAACAATTTTTTTGGACGTTTGTGCAACTGGCTGTGTGATTTGCAAAGCAACAACTACATAAGGTCAATATAGTATAGGGTATACAAAACTAAGTATTTACACCTAAAATATTTCACACGCATTTCGCAAACATTCGGAATGGCAATTTATTTTATTTCACATTTATGAAATAAGATGGCTTCCTCATCCTTACTATATATTTGGCCCAAAGAGTAAAATACATATGTTTAGCCACCTTCAGGCTAGGACCAAGTATTTTCAAGTTACAATAAATCCGAAAGTATTTTAGTTTTAGTACAATGAAAACCAACTTTTGTGATAGCTTAAAACAAAGTCGCTTTACTGCTACGTATGCTTCTAGATCTTTTACGTTGGATTTTGATGCGGTTTTTATATAAAAAAGGGGATTCAAAAGAAAGCTTTTTCGGGTCGATACAGGACCACGTGGGCAAAGCCGCTGGTGAAAAGCTAGTTAATAATAAGTATCAAATCTGGTTACCAACAAAATAATCATCTCAAGTCACATTATACATTTTTAACGTTTCCCATTTTTTTAGGAAGATTCAGAACATAGATAATGTATGATTCAAAATGAATGTTTTTTAATAGGTCTTCCTTGTTAACTCCATTAATACATTGACGCATTCGCTTGTGAAAGCGAAACATCTGCGAAACTATTGCGAATGCGAGACATTTGCATCTGTTAACGACATTTTCACAGTTGCCTGCGAAACAGTACTGACAAGGGCACAGCTATTTCGTCGAACTAGTAACAGTGCAAAACAAAGCATATGCCAAAACATTCCCATACAAATGACAAGTTTTATTGTTGTATCGCTTTCGCATGTAATTAGTCGGTGTTTGTATTCACGACGTAAAATGAGACTATAAACTATCAAACAGTGTAACTTATATCAAATTAAATTAAAGGTTTCAAAGGTTTAATACTCTATGTTTGGATTGCACCATATTTACATTTAAGTTTAGGTTTATGTAAAATTTGACAATATCTGTCACCCTGAATTTAACATTGACTGAGGAATGCGTTGCATTGTTGTTGCTCTGTGTTGCAACCTCAGGTTGCACCATTCTTTTTCTTGGCATAGTAAAACAATAACTTTAATTATCGAAAATCAGACTTAACAATTAAAGTTATGACGTCATCTAACTATTGCCAAAAGATAACCCATTATTATTTGCTTAACCGGTACTTTAACATGTTTGTTATTATTAAAATCAGTTGGTGTAACTAACCCTAAGTATGAATCATTCAATTTTTTTGCAGACAAACACGTAACATAGGATCAGCAGGTCATTCATAGTCATTCATAGTATATACGTAAGGTAACTTTATGTATACCTTTTACGGATTATACATGTAACCGGTCTGGATGTTTGAAACCAGCTAAACTAGGAACGATTGAAATATGACAGAGCTATATAAGACTTTGTAGTATGCAGCTTTATCAAATACAAAAATTTTGTAAATAAAGCAGAATATTCATCTGCCAACAAAATATGAATTAACACAAAGTCGACTGGCAACATTTATTTAAAAAAAAAGTGACATACGAACGGAACGGTGAGGTAGGCTCTTTTTCTGTTTTCAGTCTCTTATTTATTGTGAATATTACGCGATTTTCGTGATAGTTTGTAGCAGATTACCCCACTTTGATGCCTAAACTTTACTGAGGTAAGTTTGTTCGTAAAATAATCTTTGATTATAGAACTATTGAAATATTTCACCTATCGGCAGACGTTTTTCTTTTTAAAGGTTAATCCCCGATAAATTGATAAAAAAAGCTGTTTGTTTGCTTTATACCAACTTAAATTGACACATCATAATAAATGCTTTTTATATTTTCATATTGTATTGTACAGTTCCTTACTATTACTTTGAAATGAACAAGTAGAAATCGCCATGCGTGCTTTGACAATACCAACCCGTATTTACTATTATCAAAGACAGCTTACTTTTTACCGACAATCTTTCTGAAGTTTTTCTTATGTTAAAATAATACTGGAATATTCCATTCCAGTATCCTTAATCTTTTGTCAGGTGACAGTATAGTAAAAGTGATGACATATCTTCTAAACTATAAGTGATTATTATTTGATTTCATGATTAAGACTGTAGGTCACTGTTTTCATTGTAACAAATAATTGCAACTCTGTATTTCCTATTCACTATACAATTACGTTACTAAACCTTTTAAAATATCTAATTGTAACCACTGATACACCTTACTACAGGAGGTATATGGATTATATTTATATTAATGATATGTGTTAAGAATAGCTTTTCAAATATAAGGGAAATGTATGACTACATACAGCGATAGTTATTCACAAAATAGTAATCAAATTATTATTTTTAACTCTAGTTAATAATGATATTAAACTATAATTATAATTACATTAATAAAAAGTTAATGTAGTATGCAATAAAAACGAGTTTCCAAAACTTGAACTTGATTTATGTAAGTATAGTATTTATAGCTTTAATATTAAAGGTTATATAATTTCAAATACCATCTGATGTTAATATTCAATTTTCCTTTCATCATACAAACATCATTAACTAAAGTGCAGATTGATGAATCTCTGCAAGCATCATGGTGTCATCTACATAAAGCAGCCAACTAACAACTGGTTTGATGTGAAAAACTATAAAAATATTCTGTAGATTATATCCACTGCATTAAGAAGTGTAGTTTTATGTTTAAGGCACTACCACATTTATTTCATTATGATCATCAGATTCTACTTATGTTTAAACTTATTTGTATAGGTTTTTGAGTTTATTGTAGTTTTACATATTGTATTGGATTGATTATCAAGTGATAATAATGATCCAGTAACTAAATATTAATGGCTCGAATATTCGTTTAGTGTTCAGCATCTTTTCCACTGATTGTATTTAGCTGAATAATTCAGTTTTGGTGCCAAATATATTTGTTTGTTTATTTTTATTTTCTAGGCATGTATTATTCGCTATAGAACTAAAAAAAAAACTTCTTAAAAAAGTAAAAATAATCAAATTCTTTAAATAAATGTAAAAATATGGAATATCAATAATGTAAACCTATTCGTTAATAACAAATAAATGTGTACATTACAATGAAGTTTGTCTACACCATTCTACAAAAGACCAATTATGATAATTTAATGACCATTATTATGATTTTGCAATAAGAATCTAGAACCCTAATGATTCAAGATTCAATGTGCTAGTAATGGATCAGCCTACAATTAAATGTGCTTATTGAGCAACATTGGTGATATACTATACATGTGACTGCATCCAGGTCAGCAGATAGCAGAGGGCTGTATTGGCGCACTGTGAACAACAGCGATGGTAATGGAGGCGTCCCCGTCCCCGCAGAGCGTCGGCCGCGAGTTCGTGCGCCAGTACTACACACTGCTCAACAAGGCGCCTGCCCATCTGCATAGGTATGTACCTCACATAGTACTTAATACTGTTCACAAATGCGATCAAACCTCTTTTTGAGTCATTACATATGATTCACTGATGTTTCAAATCAAAAAAAAACAAAGAATAATGAGCAATTGTTACTATTTCAAATACAATTATCTTAAAACCATCACAAATGAATTTTATACAATATGTTCTATATATTGGTCAAAATAAAAGAAAACTTTTCTTTCACTCAAGAAAAAAAGAAAACACATTTATTGACCACAAATGTACATACAATAATTATTTAACTTAAATATACTACATTTATTAAAAGTGGTGACCAATAATCAGATACGGCGCTGGTTATTCTGGCAGAGCCTGTTTAGATGGTTGACCTTATTATAAATATATATACTAAATGAGAAGACAATTTAATTATACCTACTAATAAACTAAAATAAATAATAATGTGTAAAACCAAACAAGTACCAAATGGACCAAAAATTCCTATATAAAGAAATTATAATGGTGCGAACATACCAAGTAGTGATTTTAAGGTAATAATTTTAATTTGTTTTAAAATCAAGACCTTTTACAATCACTAATTATCACATTGACATCATCACTAGTTAAAAAAACGATTAATGTAATAGTTTTCCTTGAATAAACTATTCCTAAGTATCAATTAGTAACAGCATGTGATAATTTCAATGTATGATTTTATTAAAACCATAGATGTCTTTTTGTGTTCCCAACAGACAATGGCTGTATGGGCTAAGCTCTCTTCGCCTTTCTTTTATGGAAAAATCAACCAAAAAAAAAGCTTTGTGTTCCATAGATTTACGTTTTCTTTAACAGCCTAGCTAATGATTATTTACGCTATTGTATAAAAGGTACCCATTGAACAAAAAGATTAAGTATTTTTATGACAAAGAGTTGGGATTCTAAAGTTAAGTTTCTTCTGGTCACGTAGGCAGATTTTTTTTTGAACAATAGTCAAAAGTAAACTGACTCTTAGGAACAATGGACCTACCAATTCCTTATCGGACTGCAATTTAGCTATATTTTAACAAAGGCGATCCATTATACTGATATGTAGAGCTTTAAATACCATGTGATTGTTAACTATAACTATGATAACTATTATTGTCTAAAACTTAGATTATATCATATGAATGGGATTTTGTTTCTGAATATTTAAATCTTATTCAAATTATATAATAATAAAGGGTCGGCGCATATCTGATGTAAGATGCGTCGCGTCTCGTCGGTTGCGGAACGTCAGAACTGACAAATGATTTTGATATGATATTCAACCTTATACAGTCGACTTAAATTCCGTCGCGTACGCATACTTGCGAGAGACGCTTGACGGATCCTCCGCTAGATTTACACCGATCCTTATAGACAAAGAATTTACTGTTTCCTTATTCATTTGAATGTCTATGCGCTTTGCTATAAAAGAAGGAAAATCTAGATGTATACCTAAAAGAAAGACTCAAGAGATGGTTAACTTTTCTTATTATTACTTTCCTTTAATATGTTTGAAAGGCTTCTTTAATAAGCTCCAAACTTTCTAACCCTATCATACCGACCGTGGTCTTATGACTCGCGTAGGCGCGTGTCGATGTCTCAACATCATCACTTCTTAGGTATGAAATTTTATTCCCAGTGATCATTATAAAATAAGGTGGTTTCATCATCGTCTCTGATTAAATTGAGATTTGATTACAAGGACATACATATATTTATATGGGGTTACATTCATATACTACATTTATAGTGTGATGTTTTTTATAGTTTCGAATTTATGTTATCCATTAGCTATCTAGCTTAGTTACTGAGAAATATATGAATAAGTACCTAATCCAGTATCCACTAACTTGTTGTACTAAGAGCGAAGACATTGGAGACGTTTTTAAGAAACTAACCGAAGTACTGACATGGTAATGTTGATGTTTGGTACAGATTCTACAATAATTACTCGTCGTTTGTGCACGGCGGGCTCGATGCGCCCAACCGCGAGACGCTACCGGTCGTCGGCCAGAAGCAGATACACAACCGAATCCAGCAACTCAACTTCCGGGACTGCCATGCCAAGATCAGTCAGGTAAGGTTCAACTCGCATAAGGTTAAAATCAAAATCAATCCAAAATATTTATTGGCCATGTAACTCAGAAAGTAACACTCGGCAAGTCTTTTACAATAAACATTTCAAATCAAATAAAAAGGTCTAAATCATGCAAGTCAAATTATTATAAGAATGTCAAAGAAATTAAGTATTTTAACAAATTCAAGTAGGTTATTTTTATTTCAAAATTCTTAATAATTAATTATATCACATAGTTAATTAAATAACAACATTACAAATTAAATTATATATTATAAAGAGCCAAACATATAGGTAATATACAAATTTGTCATTAAATATTAATGATCCTTATATCTTTCATCTACCACAGAGATCTAGTCAATTTCCTATCTTACCCATCTTTATGTAGGAATGAATATTCATCCAAACGCATACACATAAATTCATTTAATAAGAATGAGGGATGCTGAATAAAAACATTTTTATCATTCATTTGAGTTTGTTATCATTCATGTTTGTTATACCGAGGGGGGAGGTTATTTTACATGTCTTGTTTTTGTACCTTTACCAATCTTTTTCTAGTTATTGTAAGCAATATTCATTATTTTCAACAACAAATTATATTTACAATTCTATTTCTATTATTCACTATCAACATAGAAAAGGTTTATGTTGGTAGTAAATAATTTAATGTTTGGAAAAGGACTACGAAAATTGGTAACTGAGAAAAGGATAGTATGGTACAAAAAGATACACATAATTAATATTAAATACAAAATTCTGAAAGCTATGTTTATTTTATAGTTACCTAAAAATTTAACATAATTAACTATAATATTAAATATGATAATCGTGTGCCCAAAACTTTTATTGTTTTACTGTTATTTATTTATAAAAATATTCACACGAGGTGCAGTATGATAAGCTAGCAACAGATAAGATTACATTGTTATGAATCACTATATATTTGTAAATAATATCAATTACCAAATGAACAGACTAAACTAGTTGTAGTGTTATTAAAAGCTCATTAATGTTGAGCGTCATGTTTAACATTAATTACTTTTTAATGGAGTGAAATAATGAATTTCAGTGAAATCAACTACATAAACTAATAATACTTGGATAACTAAACAACGAATGTCTTAACAATCCAGTTTTATTTGTGCTTTAATTACAGTTGCCATTGTATGCTCATTGTTGTGCTATTATTTTTATAACTTTTAAAACAAATTACAATATAAAGGGCATAATTCCAAATGGGATGGCATTATTATTATTCTGACACATTCAATGTTGATTTGTTTACTCTACTCATTGAAATTAATCTGAAGTAAGGCTACAAACAGTCATGTACATAGAAAAATATTGTGTCTATGAAATGTTATGTTTCTTAAAAATAATATAATATTTTTACAGCACATTCAAAACCTGAAAGGAATATCCCAATTCATCAGTTAATTCAGTTAATAAGTATCATTTTAGTTTTTGACTTGTTTTTATAACAAAACAACTGTTTTATTGTTAAGTCTTTTGTTTGATAATAGAAGAGAAGGCTGGCTCTTTATTTCATTTATATTTGATTAGATGCGTCAAATGCGTACTATTTAAAAATTTATTAAAAGTGATAGATAGATACGTTAAACAACGTTTAATACATAAAAGTTTGTAGTAAAAAATCATACAAATAAATTCATAATACCTATAATTATCATTCATATATAATATTGGTATTCGTTATTACAACTACAAATGCTTAGGTATTACGTTGTTGTTTAGTTAGATAATTCGCTGTCGACAGAAGACTCATTCAACCATGAAATGTTTCATAGTGGTTATTCATTAAAATGCTTACAAATCGGCTGCGTCTCATTTACTTACTTACTTGTGCTTACTTAAGTAATATCAACATATCATTGTAATAAAATTTAAAGTATATCGCGAGTAAATAAACTTATCAAAATCGAGCAGTGTTCAGGTGTGTGGAGCAAGACCATACAACGCTAGTTAGTATTATTACATTGAAAATTTGGAACTTGAAAATCCATTCTTATTTACTTAAGAATGGATTTTCAAGTCCCAAAGGGCTTAAATAGAGGATTGAAAGTCATGTAATCCACGCGGGAAAATATCTAGTAAACCAAATAGAGGGTATGTGCATGGACTCCAATGGGTACTGCAATTATGAAAGGACAATTTGTTTTTAAGAATATGCATATTTTATATTGTATAAATGATATACATGTAGTCTAAAGATTTGTAAGCAAAAATGTAGATGCTAGAAATAGGTTTACCACCACACCAAAATGTTTATTGTTTTATTTCTTAATAACCTGTGATTGATCGGTCAAGCCAACAAAAGTGACTTACTTATAATTAAGTTAGTTGCTAAAAATGCAACTGAACAAAGTTGTCCTTGCACATATAAATTAATTTTGTCATTTTTTTATTTCGATGTTTATTGCTCTTTTCCCGCACAGTCGCAAGTTTTTATGCGTACTTTTCACTAGGTAAGAGATAATCTAGAAAACAAAAAAAAATACGTGTACCGGAGTTTCCAAATGCAAATATGTTTTTTTTTTTGTAATCTATAATATGAATAAAATAAACATCAAAAAATAAATCTTCAGGTAAATAACTATGAAGAAAAAAATATTGATCACACATTACTTAATTATAATGTTTGTACATACTAATAATAAAATACATATATAAATTTTAAAAATGCGATGCCATGATGGGCCCCTATCTCAGAATAGGTCCCTGTATTATTCATAGATGGGCATAATTATACGAAGGGTGCTGTTACTCTGATACAGTTGCGTCTATTTATAATATACAGAACAAAGCAAAAAATTATATAATAGGAAAAAAATAAATAACTAGAACTTTCTGCGTCTTTATCGAGGATTTAGATCCAGTAGTTTCGAATATTTGGGATAATTATATTGTAGAATTATAAAAAGTAAGATATTTTCAGATCGCTTTTATAAACCACATCACGCGATATAGTTTATAAAATGATGTTTTTGTTTGTGTGGTTGCCAGGTGGACGCGCAGGCGACGCTCGGGAACGGCGTGGTGGTGCAGGTGACGGGCGAGCTGTCCAACGGCGGCGCGCCCATGCGCCGGTTCACGCAGACGTTCGTGCTCGCCGCGCAGTCGCCCAAGAAGTACTACGTGCACAACGACATCTTCCGCTACCAGGTAACACTTCAATAACAGGTCGATGCTCAAATGAGAGTATCCAAATCGCTTTCATATTAATACAGATATTAAATATTTTAATAATGATACTGTTTATGCTAATTCAAGAATATATAAACTAAAAAACCATTCAACAGTCGGGACTATGTGTCTATCATCGATGATAACAAATATCGTTGTTTTCAGGACATAGTTTTCTCAGACGAAGAGGGCTCTGGCTCCGGTCGCTCGGAGGGCGAGGAGGAGGAGGCGACTGCCGCGGGATACTTCCCACCGCCCCCGCCCCCCTCCGCGTTCCCTCCGGCGACCTTCCCTGCGCCCCCCACGTTGCCCGCCCCCGCGCCCGCGTCTGGCGCACCTCGCCTCGACGCCCCCGCGCCGGCCACTGTCCCGGCCCCCGCGCCCGCGCCCGCCACCGCTTCCGCCCCCGCCCCGCCACACATCAACGGACACCCGCAGCATGACGAAATCACACGACAATTCGTAGCCGCCCTCCAAGGTAAACGGATACTCGGATCATTTGTGGAAATGCAAAATCTAAATATTTATAACTCAAAGGTGACTGACTGACACAGTGATCTATCAAAGCACAGCCAAACCACTGGACGGATCGGGCTGAAATGTGGCATGCCGGTAGATGTTATGAACTTAGGCATCCGCTAAGAAAGAACATTGATCAATTCTACCCCCAAGGGGAATAGGGGATGAAAGTTTCTATGAAACTTAGTCAATTTTAAACAGATCGGGCTGAGACTTTGCATGCATAAAGCTACTATGACGTAGGCATCCCCTAAGAAAGGATTTTGATAAGTTTCACCCCTATGAGGATAAAATAGGGGATGAAACTTTATTTCAAGTATTTTACATGATATAATGAATAAATATTCGTTAGAAATGCTGCTCAAAGTAACTTAAAGTAACCACGCGTACGAAGTCGCGGGCAAAAGCTAGTATATATATAAACGAAACGACCGACGTTAATCAAGTTTTAAACACCTGTGCAATAACAAATTTTATAGAAAGCATTTTGTATTTTGGATGTTATAAAAGAGTTTCAACTACGAACGAACACTTAACCAGGAAAAGTGAACATCATACAGTACAATAAAATTGTGTTAGCAGCGAGCAGTGTCACTAGCGGGGAGCACGAGCCGGTGCCGGAGCCGGCGAGCGAGCCCACGCCGGAGCCGGAGCCGCCGCGGGACCCCACGCCCCCGCCCCCAGGTGATATATCGACCCAGCGAGATTCGATCAACGTTTTAGCCGATTATTGAACTCTATCTGGGAGAGAATATTTAAAACTCTTTTGCATTACAAAGAAGTCGACCAGATATATGATGGGATAGACCGACCTTTTAAAACGGGTCGAATCTTTTTTCATTATAAGACGTTGGACGATTTCCATACAACGAGTGTTTTAGGAACTACGTGATCGAATAGGTACTTGTGGTATGTAATATTGATCATGATGCATGTTTGCAGCGACCCCGTCCGCGCCCCCGGAGCCCAAGACGTACGCGAACCTGCTCAAGTCCGGGTCCGGGTGTGGGGCGCGCGTGTCGCCGCCCTCCGCGCCCGCGCCCGCCCCCGCCCCCGCCCACGCCCCCGCCCCCGCCACACACGAGCCCCGCCCGCGCCCTCCGAGACCGCACCAACCTAGCGGTGAGTCATACATGTTACACTGCATTATGTAAAACTTATTGTACACATGTTATACCATAGATCGACTATTTTAGATCTGCGTAATACCTACACGTTGAATATACTTTTCTTTAGATAGGCCGAGCTTCCGAATAGCATATTTCGTGAAATATATACGATGGTTTTTAGAGATCCTCTCTTCAAATTTTTTTTATATTCGAGTTAAAATATGGAATATGCACATTCTTGGAAAATGTTTTTATATGATAATTTACATCGATATATAACTGTAAAAAAATACCCGGCACCGAAAAACTAAAATTTTGAAACATTAATAATTGATTAAAATAAGTAATAGCTACGAGAAGTTTGAACACCTGAATTTTTGGCGCGCTCGTCGTGACGTTAGAGTACACGACTAGAGATATGACATTTTAAATCAATATGGATTTTGAGCGATTGATTATTATTCAATTACCTAAATCGATTAACAACTAATCGATTTTTGAAGTATAATAGACTTTTTAAATAAATCATATAATTTACTAAATTGGTGAAATAAAAATAAAAGCCTAAAACATTATTTAAATTTTAATCAGTTGTTTATTTTGCGACATAATACATTGATGTTATGGCATCGATGTTAACTCTTTGTAATAACGACATCCCTATACGTGTACATTTTCGTCACGTCCGCTCTGACAAGTAGCGTGGCGTTTAAATATTTTGAAGTTACCGCGTTTATTTTGCACTTTTTAATAATTATTTTCAAGATGAAAACGAACTCTTGTTGAAAAATATTTAGATATACTTTATTCTAAAGCAATAACGATTGTAATTAAATATATTTAACCTTTTTTTGAATCAGACGCATATTCCCTATTAACATTTGTTGGAGACACCTTTAAATGATTGTTACTGATATGATGAGTTCCCGAAACTGTCCCGGAAAATAATTGATATGATAAAATGATAAAACCGTGTTGTTCGAATGAGTAATTTATTGCTACTAAGTTATATTAACATTTATTAAACGTGTGTCGAGTTGCGCGCAGCGCCGACGTTAGCATATTATTGATACATATAAAAATGTACGGGTTTGCTCGTACAACATTGTACGACTTATCGTCGAATATTTACAGGATCGTCTAGTAAACGTTTAATTTCCATAACAGGTTTTAGCACCTGCATATGGAAGACTGCGTATTCGGCGCTCAATCCCTGTCAGCTATGCCTAAAAATGAACTGGCTCGTTTAGCGCGTTAGGTCGCTTGTGTGATTAACCATCGTTCGGTTAGCTGAACCATTCCGAGTAGATATTTTTTACATTTCTCGATCGTTATGCTTTTCTAAACGATGAAACAAAAACACATAGATAAAACTGACCCGTTCACTATCGATAATATAATATGCAATTCTTAAAACGATATAAGTAAATAATTAGATCACGATTTGGACGACGACGGCCTTGCCTGGTAAAAAAACTTAAATTAGAGCAAAACCAAACATTTATCGAATCAAATATGTTGAGTAAATATTTACGGCACGTTTACGCCAGCGGGAACTAGTCGTAGATAACCTATCGAATGGAGCTTATATATGTATATGTGTAGGCGAGGGCGGGAGCGCGGCGGCTGCGGCGGGCACGGGGGCGGGCGCGGGGGCGGGGGCCGGCAGCGGCAGCCGGCGCTACTCGGACTCGCAGCAGCTGTTCCTGGGCAACCTGCCGCACTCCGCCACCGAGGAGGAGCTGCGGGCGCTGTTCGCGCGCTTCGGGCCCGTGGCCGAGCTGCGCGTGCACAGCAAGCCCGCCGCGCCCGGCGCGCCGAGGCATCCCAACTACGGGTATATATACACCGTCACTTGCACGGTTACTCGAGTGCACGTTGACTATTACATTTATATTAATTTCGATATTTACGATTCAAACTTTAAAAAGTTTTGATTTTAATGCATTAATTTTTAAAGGAGCTCCTGACTTCACAATTATCTCCCTAGCCTCCGAATGAAACGATGTTTAGATATTATTATATTTTAAGCAAAAACTAATTAAAATTATCACCAATGAAGGGGTAGGACCCGACCATTATATAAAATCCATGACGGGTCAATCGATGTATGGAAAGTGGGCTCGTCGTATCGTCGCCCTGTGTTAGTTCCTTTTTAGATTTGTACTGTAGTAGATAACGTCAATCTGACGTGTAGTGGTGGTCGCGCCCGTCCAGGTTCATAACGTACGAGAGCTCGATGTCGGCGCACGAGTGCCTGCACGCGGCGCCGCTGTACTTCCCCGCGGACAGCGCGGACGGCGTCAAGCTCAACGTGGAGGAGAAGAAGACGCGCGCGCGCGACCCCCCGCGCCGCCGCCCCCTCTCCTCGCACCGCGCCCAGGCCGCCTTCGCGCCGCGCGCCGCCTACCGCCGCTAGCCAAGGGTATGTACACCGTACACATATATGGCATCCACTTTCGCTACTTACGCGTGCGAAGCTTTTCGCTGGCCGCTAACGTTAACTCTTCTCTGTTGTTCCAGGGCCGTGTATGGCGCGACTCCGGTGTCCCACCCCTCCTCCCCTCCTTTAATGCCCCCCGCCCCCCTCCCCCTCGTCTGCGACAAGGGGAATGCCCGCCCGTCCTTCCCGAGGGATCCTCGTCGGGCACGGGCCAGAAATAGCCCCGCGACCGTGCAGTGAATCATTCTAAACACCCATTGTACATTTCCGCGGAATGAGTAGAATCATCGAGTCGCGAGGGCGTCCTCTCCCGTGCCCGACGGTGGTCGTCCTCGTGGGGGGCCGTCACGGTGTAGGAAGCGTTCGAAGCGGTCGCCGGAGGGAGCACGCTTCGCTTATTCTTATTTCGTTTAAGTAGTTAGATAGTTAATTAATATTATTTCGTCGGGCCCCGGCCGAAGCGGGGACGCTATTAACAAATTCTATTTCGCTTTCTGAAATTCGAAAGATACTTTGTGTACGATGAGAGTTCTCGGTGATCGCTTCGACGCAACGAAAGATTCCGGGAGTCGCGCCTCCCCCCTGTTGCGACGCCTCGACCGCTCGAGTGCCGCATCCGGCGTCGTGTTCGAAGGATGTGATCGTACGTCGGTGCGTACGACCGACGGCCGACGATCGACTCTTCCATTTTATCATTATTCCTATTGTAAAAATGAAAACCGATGTTTTATTTTACCGCACAGTTCGATCATATCCTTTCAGAAACACGTTTCTATTCGAACTAGAAGATGTGTCCTAGTATGTCTTTTCTCCCGGACTACGATATTCACACCGTTCACTCGGGAGCGAATACTTGGACAACATCAGGGGCCGCCTGCCGTCCGTCGGTCCGCGGCTGTGTATTAAAGTGGGAATGAGAAATTGTTAGAAGACTGAACGCTTCGGCGGGACCGACGGATGCCGGTGACGTCACACAACGCCCGCCCCCTCGCTGACGTAACGTGCGCGTGCGCCTCCTCTCCGAATACTTAATATCTACAATTGTATATGAGATCATAGTAGAATTCGATAATATCGAAGTGGGATCTTGCTATACACCGTGTAGCGGTAACTCACTTCGACGATAGGAATTACATCACATCAAAATCTATAGGTCCCCAGACAAATTCAAAATGTATCGACCTTTATGAATGTTACGCGCCGTAGATAATGCTTTATGTCAAAAATTCCAAATCATTAAAGTTAATTATTTTTAAATACTCGTAAAAGTTTCAACGTCGGTGTTAATGTTTTAGCAATGTTTCAAATAGCTTCATATGTAGCCTAGTGTGATGGGTTGACAATGTTTAACTCGTTCGGGCGTCGCACGTCACGTAGGAGTGTATTTCGTCGCTTCGATTAACGGATCGTCATTACAAAGTACATTACGTACGTCACGTCGCTAAGAATAGTAGACTATATCGGAGTAAAGTGCATCGTAATAATTATTCGCGGCTCATCTCGGCAGGGACGAGATACAGTCCAGAGGCGACGGGGCGGGCGTCCCCCCCACGCCCCCTAATGCAGATCATGGATTAATTTTGTGATTTTACATGTTATTTTGTATATTTTACTTTATAAATAAATAGAAATCGCGGGCTCGCTCGGCGCCGGACGCGACGCCTTCTGCGATACTGATACCGATACACGGAACGATCTCACTTATATCGTCGTCTCCAATTCAATCGTTCAATTCTTTCCAATGTAACGACACTTCTTTTAATGAGCTCCGTTACTTTTTTTTTATTGATATGATATACGGAAATAGATTCAGCTAGAAACACGTATGATGGTATAGCTTTATATAGGAGCCGGGCATATAAGTGGGCGTGTCGTTGTAGTTCGGCCGCGAGGTGATGTCCGGCGCGGATCGGATGAGGTAGTGTTGTGAGGCGGCCAATGTCACGGGACAGCGCGGGCCGGACCGGGTCAGCAGGCTGACTCGACACATTTGCCGTCCCCAGTCTAAACTGTAGTAATAGCAAAAACAAGAAACCGAGAAATAAGCGCGGAAAATTTAAATTTTGTGTATCTTCAACAAATCATTGTCTTTGATAAAATTTTGAATACAATGTGTAAGAAAAATTTGAATCCTATAATAATTCACAAATCCTAGGTAATAAATTATACACTATTACTGCTTCTAGTTTTTTTTACTAAATCGTTTCTAAACTATTTCAAATGCAGTAAAGTGAGCTGTTACTGCATTTTCAACAGTTTTGATATTAAAAAGGTTTAGTAAACTCAAAAACGCAAATTTAGCAGTTACTGCTCAGTTTAGTCTCGGGAGGGCAGACTTCGGCCCGAGTTACTCCACCGCTCGTGTCGCTCGCTATAGTTTATTGTCAATAAATGTATCACAACATACTGTATGCGATGTTTGATTTAATTCCGAGTGTAGTGTACGGCTAGGTGTGCCCTAGCGTATGCGCGGTGTTGCACTAAAGCTGCACTACTGATGCGACTTGAATAGGGCTTTGTGACTCGAGTCAATCGTACCATTTAACTTTGAACTTCACTCGAGTGAGATTTAATTTAGTAATTTTAAACAAATGCATATATAATGATAAAATACACATTTAAAAGAGTTTGATATTTTATTTATTGTACTAACCAACAAAGAAAAAATAAGCGACATAGATGAATAAAGTACAGTACATTCTACTATTTCTGGTGGCAACAGAATCGACTCGATAACTCGAGTAATATTTTTTTCGCTCGAGTAAGAGTTTGACAAATGTATCCGATTGGCTCGAGTTACATCACTAAGCTGTACGCGGTGAAGTTGTTCCGTGACGTGACGGACTGATGAGTGTACTCCATACATACTTGTATGGTATCCTGTATTGTTTAGTGTGGGACGGTATTGAACACGTGCAGTAGAGCGAGTCTGTAAAAATCAGAATTCGAATTCGCTCATGTGTTGTTTACGTCATTTAGTGTAGGAATTCTGTTCATTCCATTTTTGTATAAAAATACAAAACAAGATTGTTTGATTCATACGTGTCTCAGATATTCATACGTGTCTCAAACTCACTCCACTTACGCCACGAAACTGTATTACTAACTCAAGGTTGAGCGGATGCCGCTTTTGAAGTGAATTCCGACACCTGAGTGAATTCGAATTCGGATTTTTACAGAAACCCAAAGCAGGTCTGTGTCTGAACGGTCGCCGGTACGAATAAGGGACTTCACTATGGTCCCGTGGGAACGTTGTAGGCGTAGACCCTACAACGTTCCCGCGGGACCGACGTCCTTATATGAGGAAATCAGATCGTACTGATAAATAAGTCTGTCTATCGTAGATAGGTGCCCGGTCAGAGTCTTTAATTTATTCGATCGCATTTAGGTCGATCGAGAGGTATACTAAATGAAATAGAATTATTTCTGAAAAATGTGATCGAGAGAGTCTAAGATTCGCCCGGCCTTTGAGTGAAAATAAAAGCTTGTCCTGTGTCGTTACTAAATAATAGTCGTTCTTTAGATATGTTTATTCGAAATGTTGTCTTAAAATTAACAGTTTTTACTGAGATGTAACGTAATGTCTATTATCCACAATCGCAATAACGTATTTTGTGAGTGAAAAATGTAATTGTTGATTTTTATACGTATTAGATAATAATTTCGTCGTGAAAATTATACAATACGAATTCTCGCTGTCGATTTGTGTCTTAAACGCTAGACGGGCGATTGTTGATACGCACCACGCATCGCAAGCCTCTCAATTCAACGATGGTGTAATTCGTTTCGTAATACTACCGTTTAAGAACGACTACTCATTAACATATTTGCTAAGAACATTGCTTCCTTAAGTAATAATAGTACACATAACATTATTACGTCGCCGTTTCATTAGTCCTCACTTGATCATTATTTGTGATTTTATTAAATGTCCTTATTTATTTATAGATACATAAAAAGAACGTGGCCATGCTCTGTTCACAATTTAATCATAAGCACTAGCGCCCTCTATAATCATTCGAAACCAATGAAACCGTGACGTCACACCATAAGATATAGACAGCAGAACAAATCGTGTTCGTACATAAACAGTACGTTTCAGATTCAATAACATTGTGTGTACGGTACGCTTTTAAAGTAAAACTGTTTATGCATTTTGGCTAAGCGTGCCGTCAGTAAATGTCATGTATTAGGCACAATAGATACGTTCTTAAATACATTAGTTTTGAAAATTACCTTAATATTAATAATATATAATAGTTTTTAATAATGTTGACATACAAACAAAAATATTTAAAATTTCTGGCTTTTCAAATATCTCTTTACAATATCTAAATGTTTGATTATATTAACTACCATCTAATACTGATCACTGACTGTATTGTGTGAGTACTGGGCGAGTGTTCACTCGCTCTGTCGTGGGTCAGCATATCAACCAGATATGAGTTTCCTCATACAGTTATCGAAAATGCAAGCCTTTGTGTATTGATCTTAAAGTCCAAACCACACAAATGACATCTCATTCAAAATATTATACATAAAAATAGAATTATATAACTATACATTATTCTGTAATAAAGGCATAACTCCAGATGTATTGTTTCTGTGTGACTTACACCGTTTGGACACTAGTTAATGTGACATGAGGTTAGCACTCGCTACACTGTCGATATGTACCCGCCGCGTGAACAGAATACACGTTAGTGAGCATTCATTCTGTGTATATAGGTGATATACTCGGTCGAGCCAAATTGCAATGTGTATGTACCATAATAAATAACATGGTCGCCACTCGATGTAAACCGACGGAGTGATTTACAAATAACAAACGCCAAACAAGTTATAATTATTCGGTTTTCAAAAAAATATATTAAAACTTGGTACGTATAAAAATAGGCGTATCAGTCCAGCTGGTCTGAAATGATACGCTTGCCGAGGAACGTTACTTATTTAATTTTAATAAATACGAACAGATGAATTGTTCGATATATTTACAAAAACTTAATATCCGTCTGGTAATAAGTATATCAGTATTATTTCGAGTTACATCACTCCGTGGGCTTTTATTATATAATATTTAAAAAAATGTGTACTTATTTTGTAAATAAAAGTATACACCATGTTCACTGTGACCGAGGACTCAGAGTGTCTCGGTAGTTGCCACTGCGTTGATCATTCGGACGATGTAGTTCGATTTTAACCGCTAGGGCGGCGCCACGATGCACATAAACATATAATTTTATAAATAAACTTATCATTTCGTACACCGACAACAAGTGAAACTGTATGATTTATGTCCTATAATTACAAACAATATTTTTATACATGGAATTAGAGTACTTTGTAAATTATTTCAATATAATAGCAGGATAGTCGCTCGGTGGCGCCGCCCCTTGTGGCAACTGTCTACTAATTGTAGTAAGATGTGAATAAAGAATCCATCGTCGATGTACGCCTCCTGTTTGTTATGTATGGCTCTAGATCGTAATGTGTAACAGACGCCGGCGCCCGGCCGGCCCGCCGTATACCGACCTCTTTCTCTCGACAATTTACTGACCCCAAACGGTGAACTGAAAATATTAAATAGACATAATGATTTATTATTAATACTAGTTTATATTTAAAAAAACAAATAATTAAACGTATGATTTATGTTCACTCTAAATACAATTTATGTAAATGTTCTGTTGGGGTCTGGAAATGTGTTGAATTAATAATGTTTTTCTTAATATTGATCGTCGTGTGTACAGTAGTCGCCACTGTTGGAGCACACCCTAGGCGGCCGCTACATTCATGAAATATAACTTATAAACAATAAATAGCAATGATAACAAAAGAAAACATAAATTTTACAAAGTTCTTCCAGTAATCAAAGATTTAAAGTTACACAAGTCGATGGTTTGTTTGTGTAGGTGTCTTCAAGTAATTTAGTTAGTTCTGTATATGCAGTGAATCACTAAATTATTTAATAATCATATTTTCTTAACTTGATATAATATATGGTTCGAAGTAACAATAGTACCGTAGGGTGAAGATTAATCATTCCATGGTGTCTGTTTTCTGGTTTAATAAAAAAAAATCGAAATCATTGTGTAAATGCGTCACGCTGTGGTGTGTACTAAACCATTTATGCACACACGCTAAAACAGTTTGCATATTGCGCCAACCCGACATTGGTTTGACTAGCAATTATAAATTTTAATGGAATCTTTATGTTGTCTCATACAAAATAATTATCAAACGTTGCAAATTTTTTGTAAATTCCTCTGTAAATACAATAAATAAACTCTTATTTCAATGCTTCAATTCGAGTCCAGCAGGCGTTTACTTATTGTACCGTCAAGGAAAATATCAACGGTCGATTTGTGTAGCACTCTGTAAGTGATCTTATACAATATAGTTTCAGTACTTTCTTTATATTAATAACGATCATTGGTTACCGTGCCCTGTGAATGCTGAAGATTGTGCCCCAGAGTGGCGGCTACTGCGCCCCACACACTCTGTAATAGAGACGTACTTTTTGTAACATAACGTGCGTTTTATTTCACCTACACACACCTCATCCACCACGCTACCCCCTGGTTAGGTATCAATGTGCACTTGTCATCAAAATAAGTGCAGGGTGCAGTTTTAAATTTTTGTGATATTGAAATTGTCAGGTGTTGAAATAATACAATATTATTAAGTAACTAATGGAGTAGTAATAGTACTAAAAGTCTCTGAATTGATATAAAATCATATGGAAGCTTTTATCTAAAGTTATATTGCATAGTGCAACGAAAAATTGTGGGTTCGAATCCCATCTCTGGTCCTCTAGAATTAGAGATTTTTTTCAAGTGTTTTTATTTACAATTGACAAAATATGAACTGACTGAATTACAAGCTCAACACAATTTGTAATCCTCGGTCGGCAAATGAATACTAATTAAAGTGGATAAAATTGGAGACAATTTGGTAAGTAGTAATAACATTTTTATTTGATTCAATTTTGATAAATTAAAACCATGTTTTAATTTGCGCAAATCTGACGCAGGCTCGCGGATCGGGTGATGATCTAGTTAACACAAATCAATTAAATTCGCTGCGATCTGTGGATGTTGTGCACCAAGTACGAGCGAGCGAGCGAGTCAGTCCTTCGCCTGGTGCCGGAGCAGACGCATGCTGACGGACAGACGGACCGGGCCGGTCTGAGGGGACAACATTGTGCACACGCGGATATTCTCGCCGGAGGGTCTGCCGGTTTCACGTGTTTGAACTGTGAGTATAAAATATAGAACAAATATAAAATACAATTATTTTACATTTTAGGTAATTCGAACTCTTATATTACTAAGTTCATTACAAAACAGAAATAGTATTTGTAATGCTGATCACGATGTCCTATAGGTATTCTCTATATACCAACAACCGTCGGTGGATTTTTTCGCTCCCGGGTCAAAAACTGGTTTGCAAAATCAAGAATTCTGGATCGGAGGCTATGTTTTTTTTTATGTCCAGATTGTTTATAACATAAGCAACTTTAAAATGTTCAACATTCGAATCAACATGTAGAAATATGTATTTAGTAATAATAATTGTATGCATTAGTACGATATAACGTTGAACAGGTATATTGTGTTGTAAAGTCCATCCTGACCAGGTCGAGTTATAATAAGACTTCTGTTTTATTTATTTGTGATGTCGTACGCCGGTTGTTTACATGTAGGAAGGAGATGCGGCGCGGGTCTCGTGTTGTGAACAATAAATACCAAGCACGGCTCTGATTCAACGTTATACCTGCTCCATAACGCATTTATATCATATTGCTTAATCATGGCATTATATACGTTTAGGTATTTCCTTTTTCATGTTATAGGATCGCAAGCTATACCCACCCGAGACGTATAAACTGCATTTTACTACCTCTATGTAGATTAAAATTGTGATGGAATTATAGTATGAACTTATGTGTTGTTGTAGTAATTAATTATAAAGTATGACTGTCACTACAGTTTTCTAGATTGCATTTATATATCATTCAAATAAACTTAAAAACATTCTCTCCGATGTGACATTTAAGTTAATGAAGACTCTTAATATTAAATCAAGATCAGGTCAATTATAAATACGACATTTGTTTGTCGGTGGCACAAAAAGCTCACTTTATTAACATATTTTTATCTATGGGTCAGCGTTATCGGCGGACACAGCGCTTCCGTCGCCCGCGCGCGCTCGTGCTGCGTGTGCGCATGCGGAATATTCGCTTCGATGACCTATTTAAATTTTTTACATACGTTGCGATTCTGTTAATGTATCGCAACGCAAAACTTATTGTTACATATGAATGTCGTCAGTAACTGGCATATTTTTTCTATTAAACTTTTATAGTTCTTCTCATTAGATTTATAAATCAGGACTTTAATTATCAATTTTTGTTTATTACGTAATAATAACATATTCGGTTTGCCATGCCATGCCGCGCCTCAAATACTAGCGGCGCCCTAGGCAACTGCCTGAATATTTGAGGTACTAGTTAGGTCCCGCCTATGACACGCCAAGTTATCCAGGTGACAGTCGCTAGAAATACCGCCCCGCTACGGTTGGTGTTGTACGGTGAGGTCGGAGCGGTCGTAAAGTTGCCGCCGCGATCGTAAACCAACGCTAGATGAGCACACCAGCCGCGCTGCCAGAATGTCCCGAATTCAACCGACCTACTTTTAACATAATACTACCACCATACTGCTACATTAGAATTAATCTGCTTTTGAGTTTATTTAAATTCATTGTCACAATCATTGATTAAAATATGTTTCAGAAATCCGTTTTCGGTTGTATCATAGATTAAAATATTTTTAATACCTTAAATATTATTGTATTTACTTTTACCATAAGGTTTTAGTTTCTTAAACCTTATCAATCAAAGTGACATATTTTATTTTCTTCATTTTAATTTTATATTTTTATGATTTAACCTAGTAACGAGGTCATCGTATCGCGGGTTATCGCTTCAAGATACGGAGGTTCAAAATATTGATGACACCGCACATAGAACATACATTTTTTATTAGCATTAGTTTGTTTTATGTATACCTATAATACATATTATGACAGTAGGAAGGTGAATGTTTTGTTATACATGTTGATTGATCTGCAGAAGTCATGTTAAAGTGTCTTCAGGTGACGGCTGATGGCCACCTTCACTGGTTGACCAAGAGGTTCTGTACCATTATCTATTAAAAAAAGTAAAAAACATCACGTTTGTTGTTTTAACAGAGTTGTTCAAAATTTTCGAGTTCAATACAATTGGTCGATAATTACTCGTAAACTTGTTAAGCCAAGTTGAGTGTGATAGTTTTCCTTTTAACTTTGTTATAAGTACCTATAAGTATATAGGTACTATTGACGCCAAGTTTTTACCAACGACCGATTTGTTCTTAGAGGACCTCCCCAATTGACTCAAAAGAAAATTAGCTCTTTAAAGCCTAATAAGTCACAAATAATTATCTGCACTGTATTTGAAAAAAAATAAATAATCATCTGCACTTTACATGTAGGGTAGCCAATTTTTTTTTTTAATTTTGCCTTATTTTTTATCGACGCTATTAACATTTAAACCAAATTGAAACTTTCTAGTACTTATAGTTTTTGAGCTAAACCGCGGACGTACGGACGGACGTGGCAAAATTACAAGGGTTCCTTGTTTAATACGGAACCCTACAAAACGACTTAGTAAAACCTTAAAACAAAATGTTTAATGTTTGTTTATGTTTTAGATCATAAACACTGCTTGAATTTACACATGTAACTCGGTGATCAGTTTGCTCTTAGCTTATTTTTAAGAGAATGTAACACTAATTAGATGAGTGCGTTAAATGAACTTTATTGTTTGTAGTCACCGCGCGTGTTCAACGTAACGTTTCCAGAATGTAATCAAAACGAACTTGTCCGAGTGCTGCGCATATTTGGGTCAATGGAAACAAATAGATGTCGGAGCAGATTGCGTCCTCGTGTGGAATCAATACCAATTGTAATTGTTGTCTCCATCTAGGGTGCATCCGACGCGACCTCGCCGCCGCCATCATATTAGTCAGTCCCCCATCAGAACGATCGTCCTCGTTGTGAAATTTTTGTTGCAGTTATTTGTTCGACTTGAATAACATCTTTAAACAATAGGGATGATGACTAATTTTTGTTTGTTTGTCCGTCAGGTACAGTGTAAAAAAATATTAAACAGGTATTTTTTTCGTAATCATAAAATTACGGCGTTACATGGAGTTGAAATTTCGCATGACGTCACGTTATGGTACGTTTTCTACTCAACTGTGACGTAGCGAGCCCCCACTCCTCAACTTTAATGCCTGTTATCTAATCTATTTCTTGTTAAATTGAAGTAAAAAAAAATAGGTATCTAATATTTTTCTATTATCTGACTGACGGACTAAATAGAATTACTTTTTTTTTACCCAGTCGTCATCCCTAACTCTTATTTTATATTTAAGATTAACTTTTACTGCCTATGCTTTCATCGGTTCAATCCATGGGTTCAATCCCAACTAGTTACTGACATAGGATTCGTCTTCGAACACTATCAAATAATACATTTTAATAAGAAAACGGGACCTGTGTGTTGATTGTTTTCGAACATGTTGCTATTTATTTTATGTTGCTGATGTATTAGCACATTGCACTTGAGTTCCTGTTATCGGTTCATGTGAGTGAGTGTATTTGCATATCCAGTGTCAAACAGTCACAGGACAGCATCCTGTGCTAATATATAACGTATGCTGAAGCACGTTCGCGTTTTAGTTTGGCATCATATTGGTAGATGGACTTTATGTACCTCACATAGTACTGAGAAACGATGAGTTGCGCAGATGTGTGGTGATCTCACCGGCCAGTGACGTTACCGTGTTGGTTTGAATGAGTTGTTGATTGTCATGTTTTCAGATGCTTCTTTAAAGATTCATTTAAGTCAGCGTACACCTAACGAATGTACTTATATACTAAGGTTGAGTATAGCTTGGCTAGCATTATTAGATTAAACAATCGATTGTGACGTTACATTTAAGTATGTAAATAATTTTACTTCTGAAACGCCTCATTCCAACCTAATTACTTCTCTTGAAGCTTGGAATTTTATATTCATTCACTCATCCGCACTGAATGGCGAATATACTTATTTGATGAATTTTGCTTTTACATTCAATGATATATGATTTTTATGTTTTTTTAACTAACACGTTTAAAAATACATGAAAAGTGCTCTCGAGCTCCGCCCAACTAACATTACGGCTGCAAATAGAGCTTACTTTAGAACCTAAAGTGTTATAAAGGTGATTAGCCGCTGTAATTATAGGTTGTGATGACAAAAGAGAGTTAGTAATAAAATGTAACGCTTATAGTGACACAGCAAGTCTATAAGAGCAATGGTTTGGAGGCTAAAGGCGTACAGCAGTGATTATTATCCCTATAGTACAGACCAAAGCTTCTGTGTTATATCTTTGAGCGAATCTTACCACTATAAGATTTGTATAAGAAATTATCATTTACTATTCTCCTCAAGTTCTAGGCCAGCTATTATAACCTCATTTGTAGCGCTGATAGTTGCGCAAAAGGAGTAATTAACGCTACTAGCTCTATAAATGTGTTTCTTAACTCTTTTATAAAACCAAACTCCTGATGGGATACACGACTCCTGTGTAAAACTTAGGGATGTATATTAGAGGTAACGTTATCGATTATCATTGTGTCCTTTTTGTCAGAAACTGAATTTAAAGATGTCTTGTTTCAGAGTGACAGAGACAAGATGAAGGGTCGCCTACTGGTGTTGGCCCTGGTGGTGGCTGTGCTCTGCAGCGTCGAAGCGCAGGTGAGTCGCACCTAAAATGTATGGGATATCCGTTCACCCTATAAGCGCAGTACCTATAACTTTAAATATTCGTGCAACTATTGAAAAAATATTGCATAAGGCTTGTCGTCCAATCGAACAACTATTTGAACCAATCTGCTACGACGTATACACTAACTTTAATCTTTGTTATGGTTTTCACTAAAACATGTAGGACGATGGTCGTTGAAGCTTTCGATATAAATCATGACATTTAAAGCTGATTTGTTAGTAACACTACAAATATATTGAAAATTACACAAATTAGAAACTGTATAATATTACTGAATTATATATAAACACTCAGTTGCAGAAACGATCTTTAAGCTCTAACGAATGTTCTAACAGGTATCGCTAATGTCGCTTCAAATTAACTAAAGACAAATTAATGTAAGTTTGTGCAGCTGGGTGTTAGTTAGACTCTGTATATAACGCCATTGGCGGTGGTCGTATGTGTGCAGCAGAAGCACCGGCGTCGCCACCGCCGGCTGCGCACGACCACCACGACGGAGGCGCCCGGCGGCGGTGAGGGGCCCTCCCCCTCCCCCGACCCCGCCCCCGTCCCCGCCCACGCCGCGCCCGAGGACACCGAGGCGGAGCACCTCGAGCTCGGCATGGCGGAGCGACTCGACGAGACCAGATTCCAGGTGCAAACCTCACAGTCTCTATCTATCTACAGGCCCTCCCCGAGAAAACATAGAGAGGACGGGCCATAACCGAACACGTCGATCCAGCACGGATTTATAGGTGTTAACGAATACATCAGGTGCGATACGATTCATTCGTTGGGTATAGGACACGCCATCACACGTGAACGGCTGGATCGATTTCGCTAATACTTTTGTTGTGTTTGTTATTGTATGTAGAAGGTACTTATGAAAGAAAAAAATAAGAAAATTGTGTGGAAAATTTTAGAATATATAACCACCATACAATATTATCTCTAATCTAACATAATATAAACTTTTTAATGTAACCTTTTGACGTTTGAAATAGAATTGTCAGAATGTGTGCTGCAAATGGCGTCAAATAGGATGTAAAAAAATTGTTCGAGTTCCATATTCATAATTAAGACACAGGACAACTTCGTCTGTCGGGTCAGCTAGTTTATTATATTGATGTCATCATTATATTATAGAAAAAAATGCAAGGATAATAATCTTATTGACACAAAATTTTCAACATGTTCATTTTTAGACACTTTAGTTTATTTAGTTAGTTGTATTCTAATCATATGGTCATCATTCAAGAAATGTCAATTGGTTTCCATTACAGGAATCTGAGAAGAGTCGTGTCAATGAAATATTGAATGAAAACGGACAGACTGGTGATAATGACTTGTTTCTCGATGGTATGACTTTTTTGTAACATATGTGTACAGTAATTGGTTGAGTGCCACGAAAGGAAAATTCGGAACCGTTAAGTCCTCTGTTTTCCGTCTGTTTGTCAAGATTCAATTTCGGTCGCGTGGTAGGTGATGTCTAGTTGAAATTTAAACTGTATATTCAAGTCTACAGTTCCTTGAATCTGTAAAATAAAATATAATAGAAAAAAAATCTAAAATATTGTAAAGAAGTACGGCCATTTGTCTTAAGAACGTTTACGTCTTAAAAAATATTTAAAACTACATCTGTCAATTAAACATAGTTAAATCATAACATTCCAGTCTTATAAAGGATCGGTATTTAAAATTGAAGCATTAAATTCAAGTGATATGTTATAATATGAAGGAGCTCGATCTGCATATTTCTAAACACATTTTATCTATATTCCTAAATGAAATATGCTTACAAAATCCCTTTTTTTGATAACGTGTAAATTCTTATTTATAAGTATAAAATAATATGAATAAATTGTCCGGATTTTTAAGTACGTATATTGTTTAAACCCGTACTACTATTACCAAAAATATTATTCTCTATATATGAATTGAGTACAAATTTTTAAGCTTTTTTTTTAATCGCACTAAAAGGTGATTATAAATAATGATCAATTTATAAATCGCTAATGCGCTGGATCCTTGTCTATATATTTATTATTAGTGAAATTATGTTTAATTATAGCAGTTGCTTATTAAGTCAGCCGTGACAAGTACAACAAAACTTAACAATAACAGTCAAAACCAACAAAAATATTGTTTGATCTTAACACAATCAAACTCAACAAGTGTAACCAGTGTTTATTTATTAACGGTACTGATTATTGAACGTAATTACGTCATCAAAATTTGCGGGGATTATACCAATTTCCGCAAAAAGATACACATCCAAAACATAATGTACCGTGTGCAATTGACACTTACTTTCATAAATTGATTATGTACGAAATATTTTCCTTTACTTAAATGGTACGAATTCCCATATAAAAATAGGCAACGTCCTTTTATATTTGAAATCGAAGCGCGGGAGTCCGACTCGCTGATTATATTTGTAACGACGGCTGCGGTGCGTAGATCCGTGCCTGAAGGTGCACTGCAGCGCGGGCCGCGTGTGCGAGATCGACGAGCACGGGGACGCCGTCTGCAACTGCATCAAGGAGTGCCCCTACGAGACAGACTCCCGCCGGAAGGTGGGTGCCACTACGTGCCGGATGTGAGACATCAGCCTCCGACTCCGCTCTGTGTTAAGTGACCGCGCCGGGTGTCGCAGGTGTGCACGAACCACAACGAGACCTGGTCGTCGGACTGCGAGGTGTACCGGCAGCGCTGCCTGTGCCTGGACGGGTCGGAGCTGTGCCGCGGGCCGCAGTACCACCACGTGCAGATCGAGTACTACGGCGCGTGCCGCCAGATGGCCGCGTGCACGGACGCGGAGATGGTGGACTTCCCGCGGCGCATGCGCGAGTGGCTGTTCAACATCATGCGCGACCTGGCGGAGCGGCGCGACCTCACGCCGCACTACCTGCGCATGGAGCGCGAGGCCGAGAGCGACCACACGCGCCGCTGGACCAACGCCGCCATCTGGAAGTGGTGCGACCTGGACGCGCACGACAACGACAGGTATGCGCCGCCGCCGTATCGACCGTATTAGTGCAGACTTAATATTGACTTCACCGATGCTGGGGCCCTAGCCACTCCGCAGCTCTCCGAACCGGCGTTCCGGTCTCGGGTTCGAGACGATAGTTCGATCTCCCCGATGCAGATCACGATGAACACTGGGTACTTCGCATCTGATATATTCATAAACTCGCTCGACCTACCCGTCCACCGGTCCACCGTAAGAAATCACGGGCCTCCTTAACCGCGAGCTACCGAAGCAACATTTACGGCGGGGAGCGCTGGCCCGAATTCTGTTTGACTCTGACCTCGAATCGAACCCGGAACCTCAATAGGGGGGGGGGGGGAGACTCGAAATACGGTCGCACACAACAAACGGATCGTCCGCGTCGACACAATGAGCGACCACCTGGTACCGCTCCCCAGGTTCGTGTCCCGGCACGAGCTGTTCCCGATCCGCGCGCCGCTGATGGCGCTGGAGCACTGCATCGCGCCGTTCCTGGACGCGTGCGACGCCGACCACGACCACCGCATCACGCTCGCCGAGTGGGGCCGCTGTCTGCAGCTGCAGGAGGTAATACGTGTTCGGATTTTAAAACAAATTACTCAAATATATTTTAAATAAAATCTAATGTTACGTATGCCTCGGCAGAAGAATGAATAATAAAAAGAAATGATGTCGTAAATCAAACACAGAGTTTCGATGCGGAAACCTGGTACACAATAAACGGTGTGGTGCGACCGACGCCCCGATCCGAGCATAATCACACGGTTACTCGAGACGAACTCTTAAATTAATAATCTTAAAGATAAAAATAGAGATAAAATAGTCGTTATTGTCTTATACATTTCGATGTAGTAGAGACAGTAAAATGAAGCACCGCCTAAATAACAGGTCCATTACCTGCGGCGGCCGAGCATGCCGATACGAAAATTCAATTCGCCTATAAATAGTTAATAGTTACAATACCATTACATTATTAGCTATTCGGTTCTTTTTTATTCAAATTCCCGCCCCTCGGTTAAAAATATATGATTAAATTATGACATTTTCTCGAGTAATTCTCTCTACTATAGATAGATACGAATTCAGTCCGATTTCCGGTAGGCTCAATATAGAAAATGGCCTTTTCTATATTGCTTCCGGACTTAATTGATGAATGTGCAGGTGTTGTGGTACCTTTGCTTATCAGATTTCCATGATATGAATGCTTTAATTTCTTAATGTGCTGTTGATTTATATTTAGGTTATATAATTATATTATAATTTCCTTGTTTGTGCAGTATGAACTAGAAGACCGCTGCGACGAGTTCATAGACGACTCGGAGTCGGAGACTACTCGTACGTAGAGCGCCGCTCGAGCAAATCGACAATAAGTCACTGCCATTACACATTTTTAGATTATAAAATATTGATGTAGCGATAATAGCATACCTTTTATTTTAACCAAAGTGCTAGTTAATGAAAAGGTGCTTACTGGATATGAGTGGATGATGCGACTCTTATGAGTGTAATATTGTAAATATACCTATCTACTGTGATTACGATTCTACCAAATGCAGTAATTGTACTATTTTTTTTAATAAACCATTATATTTAATATTGTATTTTTATTTTATCCTCTGGTTTGGTTGCTTAGCTACATAATTTATGAAGTTCTATTTTACTTGAGGCTTGAGTTTTACTGAACAATAATTATGATGGCGCTAATATCAATGTTATTTTCTATTATTTATATAGCAGATTTAGAGGTCGCAATGAAATCCTGGTATAATTGTTTAACCTCTTGATTTTATTTTCAAATAATATACATCAAATCACTTACAACTAAATTCTAAGATATTAACTCTATGCCGGTCTCGATCAGAAAAGAAGATTATCCACCAGCAAAACACTAACACGCGAATTCGAATATGGAAAAGTAATAATTCAAATGTTAACGGCCAGCATCCACCATAAATTGTCCGAATATAAAACCTACCTATAGTAATGTGCACGTAATTTACATGACCGGGCTGGCTAAATAAAATTGTGCGTGTGAAGACGCTCGAATAAATTCTACAGAAGTCTAAGCCCTACCTGCTTGAGGAACTTAGAAGAAGCGGTTTTTATTAATATACCAGCTCCTGGAATGAAATTCCAATTTACTACACTATCGTTCAAAGACTTCTTAGGGAATTCTTCACATTGCAGGAACTCTGCAGGTGCAAAACCTCAATAAAAGCACCGGTACGTCTCCCAAATGTCTACAATAATCAAAACCCGGAATTTGATAATTGATGACGTCAAAAACCTAACACGACAAACTTTATTTGAAACACAGCAATCATAATTGATATACCTGATTCCCGTAGTTAAAATCAATCAAAATCGAATCAATTAGTTAATATACAACCCAAAATTATAACAAACTGATATGGCCAACGACAATGTGTATATCTTTTAAGAATCGATGATAAATCCATATAGAATCTAAGGACGTCCAGTATTAAACAAGACGAAACACAATTCCTATGGAACCAGATGGGCTCCCCGACCCTCGTAATGCCCATGTATAAACACTACGCGCGATACAATAATAATGACGACGCGCATATAATGTGGGTGTCTATCGACTTATCAATAGAGATGAATAGAGAATTCTTAGTACGCCCTCCATACTGCTGACGACAGGATACGCGCCAGCTTCATCAGTAAGTAATCAAAAAAGCTATCTCACAATAAAACAACTCTCAGTCGTAATTCTTCGACAACCATCAAAAAGATAAAATTTTCTTATCACACATTGTCAATCTCATCTCATCTACATACGAAATCTACAAGGGCAACGCCCATAATTGAAAAGAACAAGTCTAAAACTTAAACGAAGAATCTTTCAAAAAAATTTCGCATTATTCCAAATTGGAACTAATTATATAATGTAAGTATGTAAGATGTACTATTTACTTTAAATTATGTTATAATGTTTAACTATATGTATAGTTTATTTTAAACGAACAACCGCCAACTCTATTTAATTTCAGAGAATATTCTCTCGCGTAGGTAAGGGATTGGACATTAGGGTGTCCCGTTCATGTATGGAAAAAAAATCTAGATACGGTTACGCAAGAAGCATAGATTGGCAAGAGGTGTCAAAAATTGAGTGTTAACACATATATTACGCTTATCTTAAAATTTAATTAGATATCTGTCATCTTAGGGCCTCCACCGGTCCTTAAAGTTTTTCAGATTTTCCTTTTTAGGTATTCCTAACATAAACTATAAATAATAAAAAAATTGTTGAAAGACAAGTAACGAGTGGTTGTTATTTAAAAAAGGAACTGTTTTTTTTGCCCACAATTGGGCATTTCCGCACGAGATATTAATCTGTTCCTAATGAAACCATCCCGAGTTGTAGCGTTCATGATGCTTTGAGAAGCCTCCGTCACTATTTTCACACATCTTTCCACTGCCTGTGTGTGACAGGGGAAGGAAGTCAACAATGTCGATGCTTTGTTCTTTAGCCTTCATCCTATGGTCATCGTTGGTGTGTCGCAAAATTGGTGGAGCCGATATCTCACACTCCTGGGTACGCAAAAATAGCGTTTCTTTCGATCACTGAATTTACAATAGATTTCTGACTATTGAGCAAAAATCTAGAGTGCACAATCATTTGAAAAATATGCTTGGCTCCATCATTAAAAGATGAGTTTTGTTTAATGTGGGACCAAACAGGGACGTGAACTTTAACCACGTAGTTCACAAGCAAATTATCTAACGGTGAAACAGTACTTACATAATAATAGATTGTATAAGACGGGTATTAACGCGATAGATTTCGATAGTTAGGTTTTTCACCGACCTATATTTCCCGACGTTTCGACCAGGTTACAGCGGCCGTACCCGTCAATACCCGTCATATACAATGTTATTTATTGCAACGCGAAAGTTTAAAAGTTTTTATGGTACTTACATAAAATCTAAGTATGCGATTGGCAGTAGTGAGCAATCTCGAATGCGCCATCTGCAACATCCAGAGACATGAAAAAATGACGAAGCGGTAACTCCATTCGCGTGAAGTATACAAACACACCATTGCACCGGTCTCTAAATAGTTTTCCAGGTATCGATGACTCCTCCCTTCCAAACTGTATCCGTACCAGTACCTACCATCGCAACCCACACAAATCACCTCTTCCAAGTTCAACCCTTGACTTTCTTTCTAACAAAAATATTATAGAATCGGCTATCCCTTTGGCTGTGCTACGACTTGGCGTCATATGACCCAAATAAATAGATCCCGGCTCTGTGAAAACTGAAATGTGCTCTTGCAAGACTTCATAACTCGTACATTAGAAACAGTGGAAATTGAGGATTTGGTCCAAATCACACTAAGTTTTTCAGAAACGATTAAAAAACCTCTGTGTTAGAAAGATCTTTCCCATTCTTCTGTTGTTTCAGTTCATATTCGATCGTTTTTTTCTTAGTTGCGCTACTGTATTATTTTGTTGTTATGATCAGTGGCTATAAAATAAATTTCTTGTTTCAAACTTTTTAGAGAGTGATTTAGCTGTAGTCGGGTTTTTGTTCTTGAATTATATTTTTTAAATAAAATATTGGATGGATGTCGTAGTTGCTTTGTTACAAAATTCATAAAAAAAAAGAAAAAGTTCCGTAATTCACCACCTTAGCTTGGCAGCACAGTCGTAGCCCGCCATTTTGACCTGCTCTGATTGGATTACATTGTGAGTAACTTGTTTACGACTCTTCCGATTGCGTGCGGTTGGCCAACTTGTAACGAGTTCCAGTGGCGCTGCTATCTTTTGTGTTGGCTTGGCGCCTTTCCTGTATTGGTGTGTTCAGTGTAGTAGTGATTGTGTTACACGTTTCAAAATGGTGAGATTTGCAAGAATTCCTAAAATATAGTGAATTTTACTGTGATGTTTTTGTGTTTTTTGGTGGATAACGATGTGGCCAATGACCTGGCGAAGTTTCAGCTCCGTACGATAAAAATTAATGGTTTTTTTCGTTAATTTTAGGCTGGTGGTAAAGCGGGTAAAGATTCTGGCAAAGCTAAGGCTAAAGCAGTATCGAGATCAGCTAGGGCAGGACTTCAGGTAATCTTATTAGTTTTTATAATTTATTTTATGAATTTTAAAAGGTTTTTTTATTTTCATAATCGTCATTAAAAGTATTCTACAATATTGAATAATACGCATGACCCTTTTAGTATGGCGGCGGTCAACTTTGTCTCTGAAAATAATCAATATTTTCATCGTCCTTATAATTTGTTTGTGTTTTAGTTTCCCGTCGGAAGAATTCACAGACATTTAAAAAATAGGACGACAAGCCATGGACGTGTTGGAGCCACGGCAGCCGTTTATTCGGCAGCTATTTTAGAATATCTTACCGCTGAGGTAAGTTATGCGACGCCCTGTTAAACATGGCGGCTGTTGCTTTGCTTTAATTATAGTTGGAAATCACTTGCGTTTTCTAGAATTTTGTACACGACTTATTATACTAGTTTTTATAGAACTCTTTTTGATATGTAATCCATTGGATTAGGTTCATAAATTCAATGTTTCATGCACTGAATTTATCAAGTTTTATTTTGGCGGGAAAACATACCCGATGAAAGGCAATTATTGTCGTTTGTTATTGACCTTTTATTTTAAAACATCTTATTTTAATCTTCGAATATATAAATCGCTTAGAATACTTAATATAATAGTATGTCTATTATTTACATTGAAATTCTATTAACTTAATTTGCACTGCCCACAAATATTGTTTTAATTAGGATTACAGAACATTTTGACTCGACTTACCATTTTTTAGTTTATTTTACCAATACCCTCAAGGGTTTTAAGGTAATAAAATTTAAGATTTATCAAAATATTATTCTTACAGGTTCTTGAATTGGCTGGAAATGCTTCCAAAGATCTCAAGGTGAAACGTATTACACCAAGACATTTGCAACTTGCTATCAGAGGAGATGAAGAGTTAGACAGTCTCATTAAAGCCACCATTGCAGGAGGTGGTGTCATTCCCCACATTCACAAATCACTTATCGGAAAGAAAGGTGGTCCTGGAGCACCAGTTTAATCTAGGTAATAGATTTGTTTTTTATTTCCTGTCTTTTGTTTTATTCTTAGTTGAATTGTAATATATTTGTTTTATCTCTACAGAACTTATCAAGACTTCATATTGCATTTGACTCTGGACAAGACATCAACACTTCAAAACTCAACCAATCTGGGAAACATAGTTTTTTTAATAGTGATGTAATGGAGCAGTGATGTGACTACAGTGAACTATTTGTCCGGACTTCTAGCTTATAAGTATTAGTTATATTCTAGCATTAAGGAGATTTATGATTGTATTAGAATTGAGTTTGAATTTCTTAGTTTGTTAACTGGACATTTTATTTGCTAAGAAACTGTGAATGCTGTGTTAAATTGTCTTGCTACTAGGTTCAATTACTTCTGGACTAGAATTTAGTGCGACATAATTTAAACTTCCCTTGACTACTACAACATTATAATTTTAAGCCTTGAGCTATAATACTTTATTCAGTTTTGTATTTTTTTTTACATTGGTACAGTAATAATGGTCAACACATATTGTATGTTGTTCTAAATTGTAATTTGGTATGATTGAACTGTTACAAGTTGTAAGAAATGTATTTTGATCTTTAAAATATAATGAAGAACTTAAAATGTATATTTATTTTTTTATCAATTTCGTGTGATCAGAAAGAATTGATTTGTGAATGTTTTCTAGTCAAGTCTTATAAGAATTTACGCTGAGCGACTGAAAGAGGCGAATCGCGCGGACTATCAGCTTTACGTGCTCTTTAGTAAAAACTAATTATATGATAAAATTGTATAGAGCCATCGCATAGACTACAAAATTATGATCCTTAACCAACTATCAAATGTGGTTTTTCTGATATAAAAATTAGAGGATCTAATAACGTAAAAAAAAAATTAGAGGCTCCTTTTTTATTAAAAATGAATTTTAGTTCAATATCTGTATTTTAAAAAGACACGGAAAACAATTTTTTTTTGCTTGAGATAAAAAAGGCTTTATTTTCACAACAAAAAAAAACTAACCAGTAGGTATTAATAATTTAAACTATATTTATTGCCATATGAACATCGATATTTATTTCATATTTTGTGCCATCGTAAACCTAAACTCACTTTTTAACCGACTTACACGTGTGCTAAATACAGATGTATGTATGTTTGTTCATGAATATCTCGCAATGATTTTTGTGTTTGATTGCTTAATGAATTTAATTAACTTAACGAACACTACAAATTACATTAAAATCGGTTGAGTAGTTTTGAAGTAAAAATTGATGACCTGATTAACCAATTTCAAAAAAAGAGACCATAAATTTACCTATATATGTACGTCATTAACCGACATATAAAATAAGTTATCAATTATATCAATATCAATGAAGTATTAAAAAAAAAGTTCTGAAATCAATTTAGATGTCGCTACGGTATTTTCGTGTCGTGATTTCTCCATGACAACCCTTCCGGTTTTCTTACATGTATAAAAGTAAAATAATTTTTAAAAGACAATAAACAACTCATATTCTATTTGTATTTTTTCGTATTTGTATTGATATGTAAGTGTCGAACTTTGCAAATTTCAGTTTTTTTATTTGTTAGTTAAAAGGAACGGAAATTGCTGTTTGGTTCATTCGTTTCCTGTCTTAGAGTAAGTACTTAGTAGAGGTCTATTAGGCGTGCCACCGTAAGGGACAACAAATAAATCATCAGTGTCACTAGGTAGTTAAATGTTCCTCGATTATGGGGAGATATTTTGTTATTAGCAAAGGAGGAATAATTTGGTCAGCATAATTTGTAGAAATGTTCAGAAACTATCTACTTTTCTGCGATTTCACCAAATTATAGCTGTAGTCAACCACGTATGATGTAACTTCCCATGGGTGAAAGAATTAGTAATAGAGGAACATTTTTTTATTGTAGAAATATTGATTCACTATCTATCATCTTAAATTAACTAGCACATTGAATCATTCGGCTTGGTTACTGTAGTTTTCTAAATAAAATTAAGTTTCTTCTTCTAAATTAAATTAGAATATGCTCAAAAAAGTCTAATTTAGACAAACAAAACTATTTTGAAAATTTAATAAAACCAAATTTAAAAAAAATGTATACAGACAATAAAGAAAGCCGTTTAAAGGAGAATAACGTACCTATTCAGTGATAAAATTATGTTTAGAAAAGCAAATAAGAAACATTGTGATGATGTTGGGCTAACGTCAGTTCAGCAGCGCCACTGTGTGTTTACTCAATCAATAGCTGTTAGAAAGACCATTTTTTTAAAACCTCAGTCATTTTAGAATGAAATAAAACGTTGAGACTATTGACACATGTTGATATTTCGTAGATCTTAGTATCAAAGTATTTTATCATTCTGACTAATCCAATCAAATATTCTAGTCTCATATTTAGTGACGAAATACTAATAGATATCCAGAATCTTAATAATTATTGATCGAAAACAAATGTGTAAGCCTCCAGACATATTTGACTTTGATCAGTATTACTCAGATTCTGGATTTCATTATTTCAAGACAGTATTAGCAGAGCGCTTATTAGTGTTTTCGAGTTATGGGCGTTTGTGCACCACTGCCATCGTATCCGCTATCCTGGTCAATTTCATAAAGAGACTTGACGGTTATCGTTAGTCCACCACGATACTTCGCTCGAATTCTAGTACTAGTCCCATAAGATTTGTTATCTCAAACTAGAATATCTATAAACTAGCTATTATCACGCGACTTCGCTTGTGTAAACTGTAGCCTATGTCAACTGCGTATGGTGTAGCTACCCGTACGTGAAAGAGTTTTTAAAATCGGTTCAGTAATCTTAATAAAAATGCTTAAAAAACCCATTTTTCCTGGTAGTTTGAGATTGATCAAATATAATAATCGGTCCAGTGGTTTCGGACCCTAGTTGATGTAAAAAATAAACTATAAACCTTTAATTTTTATTATATTAAGTATAGATAAATAAACTTTCAACAACATCACATACATGGCTCATATTGTAAGATGTGTATTTTGGAGTACTAAACCCCGTATTTTAGAGTATCTGTGACAACAAAGGTACCATAATACCCAAACCGCCCAGACCCCATACAATAAAGGAAAGTTAATTTTCAACGTTTTTGGTTTTTTAACAATAAAAATTAGTCTAAATCATTACACCTGCAGACTTATTTTAATCTATTCTGCCGATGTACGCTGTTGAGTGTGTGAGATTTGTTAAGAGAACATAAAAAGCTATGACTTATTAGAAAAATCAATTAATGATTATAATAAAAATAATTATCAATTACTAAACCAATATTAAATAAAGTTACAGGTTGAGTGAAATCAAAGAGGGTACTAAAATAAAAAGCATTTTCCTTCGTTTCCACAAATAATTAGATATATCACATGTATTAATCACATATTGAAAATAGAAATTATGGTACTTATAAGTTAAATAAACTTACTCGATCACAAAAAACAAATAAATTGTCTACTTAACTGCAGCAAGTACACCAGGTGACACCAAAAAAGGGGGCCGTGACAAGAGATGTATGGACCTTTTATAGCAATCCATCTCCCGTTCTGACATACATTCCACATTACCGCTATTTTATCAAAACAAAATTCAACTCTCGATTTAATAAATCTAAATAAGTATTCGCTTAGTAGTATTGATACTATATAATGTGAAATATTTGTAAAAACCATTAAACAAAATTTAAACTTTTAATTGGTTATCCAATCACAAATGAAAGTACAATTTATTTTGTTAGAGTGAATTCTAATCACATAAAACATTTTTTAAAATATGAAAATGAATATTAATATACAATAAAATGATACATAATAATTATATTTTATTAAAAAAAATTTTGGTAAGCTTACAATACTCTTAAATCATAGACAAGAATTCTTAAAAAAAAGAAACAAACTGATATTATTTCACAATATATTTTCTAGCATTTCTTTATTATAAAAATACAAACGGATCATAATCAGTGTATTTCTAAAAGAATAGCAACAGAAAATATTTGAAGATAAGATTATAGCACAAATAAGTTATGATATTTATGAAGAATATGATCTGTGGCTCTGTCTACACAAAACTAATAACCGATTTGCGACTAAATTTTGAACATCTCATATTTTTATACAACAATTATGGCATGGTAAAGAAACATGACCTAACAAGTGCAAAAAAACTATAACTCCAAGAACAAATCAAATATTTAAACTGACATAGTAATTTTTAATGAAGGCAATTCTTATTTAATAATAACATTAAAAGTTTAAAACTTAGACTATCAGTATCTAGTATAAATTATGTATATTTTATTTTTAAAAATCTCCAGTTTAGATTCTCAAACTAAAAAGGTTTTACATGGTTAATTAACGTTGTATGAAACCAACAAAATAATTGAAAAGATATGAAGATAATGCATTTTATATATTTAAGGCATTGTGTTTTAAAAGTATTAAACTGCTTACTACTAACATACAATATCTTATAGTTTCCGACTTTTCTATACTTACCATTCTTATTGTTACATTGTCCCTTTGATATCCCTTTGAGGAAGGTATTATAAAAAGTGGACTTGTTAAGAAATAAATACCTTATATAATAGTATGACACATTTTTTTCTTATTAGGTAATAAAGAAAAAATCGGTATTTAAAAAAATATTATTTATTTACAATAAGTAATCAAGGCCAAGGTCCCTAGGGTCGTGGGTAGGTTTCTTATAGGTCTGATGGTAGATCACTTAATAGAACTTCCCTGTACTCCTGTGTATTCTAGGGTGAGCCGGACTTAACTTTATGACCCTTTATGACCTCCACAACTTCTCCAGTTCTCAAATTTCAATGCTTGTATAAGTCGAGTGGTTTTCTTAATCCGTACGGAGTTCCTGAAGAAGCCACAATAATGTCACATTATTACCCAGAAAGAAGAAGTTGGGTACTGCCACTAGCGTTGGTCATATAAATAGCAGGCAAATCGTAGAATATAGCAAAGCTAGTATGTACAGGAGTGAAGAGATTATTCTTAATTAATCTGGGTTGAAGTGGCAGTTATAAAATAAAAAACCAGTAATGGTTACATAAACTGATGGCATTTGAATAAAGAAAAAAACATGAAACGTAGGTAGCAATATAAAAATATATAAATTATTGATCGTGAAATATTACAGTGATTCTTGTAAATTTGAATAAATTAACTAAGCAAAAGCTGTATACTTAGTAATGTAAAATAAGTAACTACAATCATTCAAATGTTTCTACTCATTAAATAATTGGTTAAATGCACAACTTACCCAGTACGGGACTATATTCTAGCACTACACCTACAAGTGTTTCTTATATTTATTTAAACCTTTTTTCTATATTTTTTTAAATAAAAAATATATGTCTTCAATGTAAGTAATCACAGAACATATAAAAAGGTAATAATAGAATCAAATAAACTATTATTTTATTTTGAAAAGCGTTACACAGGTGTTTTCAAACGAGATTCATTTGTAAGTGTAGTTTGCAACAGGCACGAGCGGCTGGCCGCCCGCCGGCCGCCGCGCGGTTTACTCGTTATCGTTTTTTATGCCACCCGCGCCCGCGCAACATCGCTGTATATATATATATTACATCTGCGTGCGATCTGTTTGTAAATATTTAATTTGTATATAGTTAGGTTTTAAGTAATTTTTTTTAAAACGTATAATTATTTATTCTTTAGTAGTTATTAAGTTTTCATTAACAATTAACATAGTTTTTAGATTATTATTTATTTTAATTTATTGCCAGTTTGTAAATAATGACAAACAATTTATAATTAATATGGAGACACGTAAACATTAATTTACTGTTTTATCATTAAATAGAACAACGTTACAAGTATTTAACTATTATATCTATTTAATAAAATTCTTATTATGAACTCATACAAAACAATACTGTTGGTGTGCCAACAGCAAATGGCTTCAATGTTGTTTGTCTTCCTACATTTAAAAATAAATGTTTTTCAAAATGCATTGAACACATCCTGGCATGCCTTGAAGGCTTACAATTTGGTGTTCCACAAGCTTCAATCCAATTTTGAAGATCAGTTTCATTTATCAATCAATTTTGAAGTTCATGATGGAAATCTAAAATATAAACACAATTACTAAAACACTATATTTTTAAATTTCATATGGAGTACCAACATTTTATGAAGAAAAAACACACTTGGCCGAGATTTATTGATAAAATTAGTTATATTATATACTATAAACTCAAACATTGCTAACCAAATACATAGCATAATTTTTAGTGATTCTAAATACAGAAATGATATTCAATTAAGTCTAGAAGATGTAATTTAACATTACGTTACAGTAAATTAAGCAGTATCTATAATTTTTATATAATCATGCAAAACTTTACTGAGAGGCTTTAAATTGTTTTTTTCAATCGCATTTTGTAGTTCTATGTACTTACAAAATAGTTGAGTTTCAAACATTTTGATATTTTTTTAACAGTATATTGATAATTTAATTTTAAAGCACTTTGAGGGGAGATTTTAAGCACTTAGATGTTAGCCTTAATGATTTTAAGTTATATTCTTATTCAACTTATTTAATACTATTTTTAGCTTGTTTTGTGTCGTATTTAATAAAATTCACATCGGTTATGGCAATGAGAAATTTTACCTTGACGAAGAAATAAACAAAAATGCTTCTAACTTACCTGAAATATGATACACCTACAATGTTTCTTTCGAATCTATTTTTGCAAGATATAACACAACACTTAACCATTATATTAATTTGCTGGTAATGTTTCTTACATATAAACTTTATACATCATATAAGACATTGTTTATTACACTACCCAATCTATCGGGCACGATATATTGGCCGCGATTTAGGGCGGTTGATGTCGTTGTGATTACACTGCACTAGATCGCCTCCCTAACTCAGTTGGCATGCAAACGTGGCGTTGAAAGGATGGCTCCTTCGCTCACAAAGTACCAAAAAATTGGCATAGCCCATACTTTAACTGCGGGCGTAAATAATAAAACAAAATGTTGGGTGAAAAATATTTGCTTCTAAATGACCAACTATGCAGTTTGAACTACTACAGAATGAGTTCTGCACAATTTGATGATATATTAAACTTAGTCATACCTTATATAGCGCAAAACAGCGGTTAGCTGTGCTGTAACCTTAAAATTTTTAGCAACGGGAAATGCATATCATGACTTAAAGTATAAATACTCAATAAGTTTATTGTTTCCATAGGTAATTTAAAATAATATTACATAATTAAGTTAGTCTCACTATGGACCCTATCGGGCACAACAATAATATAAAGTTTATTATAGCATTAGTTTTTATTATTGTAATTTATATAAAATTTATAATTGTACCAGACACATGCAAAGGCTATCTAGAAATGTTCAAAACATTATATCATATTGATATATATATATATATATATATATATATATATATATATATAAGAAAAAGTAATAATATTAAATTACACTTAATATTATTTCTTTTCCTTTTGAGAAGACATTTTTGTCTGTTCGCAAATTTCTTGTCGTTCACTGACGTCTCACACGCACGCTGCGCAACAACCGACTGAGCACTCTAACACCCTAACAGCGATCACATTACCCGATAAATCGGCCCTAACTCTCATCGGGCGATCGGGCGCCCACGTTCACCCGATATCGGGACCCTTACTCTCTAACTGCGATTAGACTACCTAATTTACAGTGTACCCGATGGATCGGGCCCGATAGATTGGGTAGTGTAATGCCGGCCATTTTGGTTTTCCTTATTTGCATTGATTGTCAAAACACGTCACGGCGTGTCATAAAAAAATTGTTTGCCGTGTGTAGTGGACTGACTGACGAGCAGACATCGAATTACAATATTTGATTGCATAGAACTATTCAGTGCATTCCGGGAATTAATCGTGTGGTGATTTAAAACAAAGGCTAAAGAAATAAATTAGTAATATTCAACAATGAGTTCGCGTCATCGTGATCGTAGCCGTTCGCGTTCTCGAGATCGTGATCGGGAGCGTGACAGGGATCGTCACAAGGAACGTGACCGTGAGAAGAACAGGGACAAGGAGAGAGACCGTGACCGCGATAGGGACCGCGACCGCGACAGGGACCGGGACCGTGACCGGGATAGGGAGAGGCATCGCTCGAAGAGGTGTGTGAAATCACCACGAAGCGTCTCAAATCAGCTGTCAGAGTACTTGTTTTGGTCCCCTTATGCAACGTCTCATGTTTACAGAGACAAGGATCGGGAACGCAGCCGCAGCCGCGACAGACACAAAGAAAAGCGTCGCAGTCGTTCACGCAGTAGAAGTCGCAGCCGAGGCAGGAAATCCAAAGATAGGTACCTATAATTGTTCTTGTGACTGTTGAGCACTCGACTGAAGTCTTTAAAAGATACAGATATCTCTACTAATAGGTCAACAGGTAGTAATTTTATATTTTTTATGCTGGGGTCTAATCATCTAATTTTAGGATCTATTATGATCTTTATCAATTTGATATTTGAAATATATTTACAAACTTTACTCAACAACTATTTGCCATGTGGTAACAATTGTGAATGTGACTCGTTTTTGCTTGATATTGATATTATATTATAACAAATGATATTGTTAATTTGAATTTAATTGGAAATGTCCAATGCAAGTGTAAGACATAAATATTACTTTAAAAGCTATTGAGAACAGTCAAACAAAAGAATTGAAGGCTCAGCTTTAGTATTGGTGACTTCGCAGGTTGTGTTGATATTTTTTCATACACACAGATGCTTGGTTTAATAAAGGTGAGGAGTTTGTTAGTTTCTAAGATATAATTTTTTGAAAATATGCAAGAGTTTGACAAATGTTTTTGTTTTTAAACACTGACTAGGCAAAAGGATTTATTTATATCAATAAATCCAAAGTTTGATGAAACAGATAACAAAAAAGGGTTCTTTTTCTAACAGGATTTTATAATTCAAATTGCAATAAACCTTTAGGAATTATACTAACCAAAAATTAAATCCAATGAAAATGTAATAGATGTAGTAATTATTGATAGACTTACTTATGGTATATTTACAATTCAATAATAATTTAGCAAAAAATATAAACTATATTGTAAATAGATAGATGATAGACATTATTATAAAATAGATGTGATCGAAAGTGTTTAACAAAATCACAGCCACGTGCCGAAAAATGTACAGATCGAACGACCAATCACAGCGCCTACATTAGCTGAATTATCAGGGAGCCCATTGGCTGCGTAGGCGCCGTCCGCACGGTGGGGGCGATTCCCCCACCCGGCGCGCGGGTGTAAAACGCGCTGTGATTGGTCGGCCGCCGCGCGTCACTAGTAGCTAAGTTAGATGTTAAGTTTAGAATAAGGGTAGGGCCAAATTTGTAAATATTCGTAGTCAAGTCAAGTCAGTCAAGCAGTATAGTCAAGCAGTAATAAGTAGCCAGTAAGAAGAAAATACAATAAATCGTCTATAGAAGAAATTCGTCTTTGTTTTCACCATCATCCACGGTTATACAGCATCGTCTACAGTTTGGTCCATAGAGCCGGATCAGCACCCTCAATAGTTTTGGTCCTTCGAGAAGCCGGATCTAAACACGTATAGAACCTTCGAGATCCAGCAACAGTGAATCAAGATGGTGCTTACAAGAAGCCAAGACGAAGAAAACCAACGTCGTGTCTTCGACCAGCCGCCGAGATCGCCCTCAAGTACACCGACCGTACGAGGACGCCTCGAGACGGGTAACGCCGGGGAGAGCCTACGCACCGCACCGCAAGTCTCGCAACTAGCGCCTAACGCGAACCGCGCTGGGGCAGACGTTGCCGGAGCACGCGTCGCCTTGGCAGTGACTACGCAGCCGCCGAGCGGAGCGGACGAACGCGCAGCACACCCAACGGACACAGCGGCGACTACTGGAATAACGACATCTGCGATGACGTCATCGGTGCAACCGGCGAGGAGAGTGCACGTCGCGCGTTCGACCCGCTCGGCAGCGAGCAACGCGGCACGCCGGAAGCTACGCATCGAAGCAGAAGAACGACTGGCTGCCATAAGACGCCGAGAACTCGAAATTGAAGCGGACCTCATAAAAAAGACGCTCAATATCGAGTTAGAAACGCTAGACGGAGCAGAGAGCGAACCCGAAGCTGAAGAACCGGCAAATAAATTACAAGATCGAGTGTTCGAGTGGCTCGACGACGCGAACGTCGACCAACAACGGGGGGAGCTCTCAAGGACCGCCGTGGCTGAACCGCCACCTGAACGCGACACGCGACGCCCAGATAGGGAAGAACGAAGACGGTCGTCATCGCGAGGCAGAGGCATCGATCAACTCGCCTCTGTCCTCGAAACCCTCGTGAAGTCACGACCGCCGCCGCGTCAAGCATCGGATCTACCGATATTCTCTGGTTCACCGCTGGAATGGCTACAGTTCGCGACTGCGATGCGAGAAACAACGCGGCTGTACGAATTCACACCTACAGAGAATATGGCAAGACTAAGAAACTGCCTACGTGGAGAAGCTCGGGAAAACGTCGCATCATTGTTGAGCACCGCGACGCACCCCGACGAGATCATGCGAACACTGGAGCAATGCTACGGAAGGCCAGAAAGACTAGTGGACATGGCTTTCGCCGATCTACGGAAGCTGCCGAAGATTGGACCTACCGCGAACGATCTTAACATGTTTGCGGTGAAGCTACAGAACGTCGTGGCCGTCCTGAGGAACGTGCAGCCAGAGTACCTGCTTAACCCACTGCTGACCCGGGAAGTCTTGGACAAGATGCCAAGCTACCTTGTATCGAGTTGGTGCAACTTCGCCGAGTCACAGCCGGGCCCGAACGCCGATCTACTCAAACTTTCATCGTTCCTGATGAAAGAAGCTGACCGCTGCATGCGATACAACTATGTATCGAACCTCACCGCACCCTCCACATCGCAACGAACACGAGAAACGCCTCGCCCCGCCCCCAGACCGGAGGCTAAGAAGAAGACGGTGTACGTCGCCACCGAAGAAGCACCGCAGCGCAGATGCCTTTCATGCCAGGAAGCCCACACACTACCTAGCTGCCCAAAGTTCAAGCAGCTAACGTATGATGACCGATGGGAGCTGGTGAAGAAGGAGGGCCTTTGCTTCAAATGCATCGTGGGCCGACACCGTCGATTGAACTGCCGACAGAAGCTCTGCGGAATCAACGGATGCAAGCGACCGCATCACCGACTGTTGCACGCAGATGAGCGTGGAACGACGAACGACGTGGCTACGAGCGCGACCGACTCAAACGCGGCCGCAACGGAACCAGCCACCACCGAAACGACGACGGCTGCCACGACGACAAGCCGCGCCGTCAAATTGAAGATTTGCCCCGTGACAATCACGGGCAAACGTGGGAGCTGCGACACCTACGCGCTCTTCGACGAAGGCTCGACGGTCACCTTATTAGACGACGACCTGGCGCGACAGATCGGCGCCGACGGACCGACCGCACAGCTCAACGTCCGAGGAATAAACAAGAAGCAAAGTCACGTGCAGAGCCGTCGAGTGAAGATTGGAATAAAAGGAACGCGCAGTGACCAGATCTTCAAAATCAACGCTCGCACCATGGTGGGCCTGGACCTCACGCCGCAATCGATACCGGCGGAGGCGATGAAGCTACGACACCTTAGAGATCTCGACGAGCGAGAAGTCGTATACAAGAATGCGAAGCCTCGCATTTTGATCGGGACGGACAACTGGGAGCTCATAGTGACCCGCGAACTACGGTCAGGAAAAACCAAGGAACCAGCTGCCTCCAAAACCGAACTCGGATGGGTAATCCACGGGACGGCGCCATCGAGATCGCTTCGCCGCACCGAGGATATCCTACATGTCGTCACGACCGAAGCATCAGACGACCGACTCGAAGAACTCGTGTCGAGACACTTCCGGATCGACTCACTCGGAGTGTCGCTCGACGCATCACACGTCCGCGAAGAGGACAAGCGTGCCGTCTCCACGTTCGAACGCACCGTGAAGCACAAGGACGGCAGATACGAAGTGGGCCTGCCTTGGCGAAACGACGACGCCAAACTGCCACGGAGTTACGACTCAGCACTCCGCCGGCTCACAAATCTGGAGAACAAGTTGAGAAAAGATCCACGCGACAGGGAAGAATACCAGCGGAGGATCGACAACCTCGTAGAAAAAGGATACGCCGAACCCTGCGACGGCTCCGAGGACGCAAGCCCCGTCGCATGGTACCTGCCGCATTTCGCCGTCAAGAATCCCAATAAGCCCGGGAAGCTGCGACTGGTTTTCGACGCAGCAGCAAGAATTCGAGGTGTCAGCCTGAACGATCACCTACTCGAAGGGCCGGATCTGCTACGATCGCTGCAGACCATTTTATTCCGGTTCCGAGAGGGCGCATACGCGGTGACAGCTGACATCGAGGAAATGTTCCTGCGAATCAAGATACGCCGCGAGGACCAACCCGCACAGATGTTCCTGTGGCGCGACTGCAGGCAGAATGAACCACCGCGCAAGCTGAAGATGACATCGATGATCTTCGGCGCATCGAGCTCACCGTTCCTAGCACACAGCGTGAGGGACCACAACGCGAGACAGCATGCTGAGACGCACCCTGCAGCACTGCGCGCAATCACCGAAGCGCACTACATGGATGACTTCGTCGACAGCTTCAATGATCCGAGAGAGGCCCACGAAGTCATCACCCAAGTCGACGCAGTGCACCAGAAGGCTGGATTCCACCTGAGGGGATGGAACAGTAACAATAGGAAGCTACTACAAGCCGTGAACCCGGATAGTAGAGCCAAAAGCGGGACGACGACGTTTGGAGACGCAGAGAAGACATTGGGCCTGCTTTGGGATGCAAATACCGATCGGCTGGGCTTCAACACCGCCCTGCCTAGAGTCCCACTGCCAGTGAAGTCTCGACAACGCCCGCCGACGAAAAGAGAAGCATTATCGACGGTGATGAGCATATACGATCCGCTCGGACTGCTCAGCTGCTTCACAATCACAGCGAAGATAACTCTTCAAAAACTATGGCGCCTCAAGACCGGCTGGGACGACCCTCTACCATCCGACTTGAGCGAGGACTTCGATGCATGGTTGGCAAGCCTGCCAGCAATCGACCAACTACGGCTACCCCGTAGTTACAACGGGGGGAGAGAAGTGCGTCGCCGTGAACTTCATGTATTCTGCGACGCCAGCGAAGAGGCCTACGCAACGGCGGCGTATTGGAGATTGCATTACGGACCCGGCCATGTCATCGAGACAGTCCTGATAGCGGCTAGAGCTAAGGTCGCGCCCTTGAAGACCCAAACCGTACCGCGCCTGGAGCTTCAAGCGGCCCTCATCGGAACGCGACTAGCGAAGGCAATCAAAGAAGAACACCGTGTCAACGTCGACGACACCGTGTACTGGAGCGACTCTCAGACGGTGCTTCATTGGCTGCGGAATGGAAGCAAGCGCTACACTCCATTCGTCGCACACCGTCTGGGAGAAATAACTGAGTCATCCAGACCGCAAGACTGGCGATGGATACCGACGCATCTGAACGTAGCCGACGTCGCCACACGCGCCGGATATACGCCAGCCAACGAAAACGACCTGTGGTTCACGGGACCATCCTTCTTGAAATTACCAAGATCGGAATGGCCGAAGCCACCAACGGATCGAGAAGATGACGAAACGACGGAAATAACACACGTCATCGCGCACACAACAGAGAGAAACGCTGGCTACGAGAGTACCTACCGACCCTCGTACCACGCCGCGACCCACAACGTCCACGAAGCAGCGAAGTACGGATCGGAGACGTGGTTATCATAGCCGACCACGCTCTGCCTCGAAACACGTGGCCACGCGGCATCGTAGCCAATACCTACCCTGGACCTGACGGCGTGATTCGGAACGTGGAGATAACGACAAGAGGAGGAACATTTCGGCGGCCGACATCGAAGCTGATCGTCGTCGAACCTGCACTCTCCACGGAACGATGAGAGAGGACGCGCTGCGCGACGGGCACGGGGCTGCCAACCGGAGGAGGCTGCGGAGATCCTTCGCCGGGGGGAGACTGTTGACGACAGCCACGTGCCGAAAAATGTACAGATCGAACGACCAATCACAGCGCCTACATTAGCGGAATTATCAGGGAGCCCATTGGCTGCGTAGGCGCCGTCCGCACGGTGGGGGCGATTCCCCCACCCGGCGCGCGGGCGTAAAACGCGCTGTGATTGGTCGGCCGCCGCGCGTCACTAGTATCTAAGTTAGATGTTAAGTTTAGAATAAGGGTAGGGCCAAATTTGTAAATATTCGTAGTCAAGTCAAGTCAGTCAAGCAGTATAGTCAAGCAGTAATAAGTAGCCAGTAAGAAGAAAATACAATAAAACGTCTATAGAAGAAATTCGTCTTTGTTTTCACCATCATCAACGGTTATACAACATCGTCTACAGTTTGGTCCATAGAGCCGGATCAGCACCCTCAACACATATAGTCATAAACAGTTCTTACTGTTACAGATGTAACTATCTTAAGTTATTCAAAATAAATATTTGAAGCTTCCCAACCATGTGTCTATGGTCACTAGTCCACAATACCATAGTTAATATAGAATAGTACGCCGACTTGAGCATAAGCAAGTAATAATAATCTAAAAAATACATATGGTTGTTGCTTATAGGTACTTCAAATGTCATAAATGCAAAGACCATATATAAAATGTCAGCAATCTATAAAACAAAGTTTATTAATATTTTCTATTTGAATTCAAAGCCATCTTTGAATTTGTGGCTTCAAGGTAAAATTCTATCAGTGTATGCATGCGACTACTACATACACATGGGCATGTTCAGTTACAAACTTATTTTCGGTACGTATGTATGAATTCAATACTGTCTCAGAAATTAATCAAATTATTTATTCAAAGTACAACATTTTTCCAATTTTGATTATTGTTGATCTAGCTTTTCGAGAGTAGATTATTTTTGGGAGCAAACTTGTTATAAAAACGTGTCAATTTGGGTACTTTGATTATATAATGTCCAGATTCTGTGTCCCATACAAAACACGATGTTATATAGTGAAGTCTATTGTGAAATGTATTGTCTTCATTTATGTCATGAGTGATATAACAGTATAAACAATTATTATATTTGTTAGAACAGTAGCTCACTCCAGGAGCTCAAAAAAGTGTCTTTTTTGCATTTTCCGATAATTGTTCTCCGCTGTTTTGAGTTTCATTAAAAAGTTAAGCAAAATTTCCAAAAAGGGATGTAACTATGAACGCATGCAAGAGCTATTCTGCACTATTTAATAAGTCAAAATTATTAAGATATTTTTGTTACTGAGAACGAGACCACCAAAATTTACCATTTTACGCAAAAATCACCGTTATAATGTAATATGGTTCTAAAAGTGGTCAATATCAACTCTTAAAAATACCGTATGGTTAAGACTAATTAGGTAATTAAAATTGTTTTTAACATGGGTCAATAGGTAATGACCATTGTTAAAAAACAATTTTACAAAATATTTATTAATGATATTTTTTGATGAAATGATTACTAAAATAAAAATTTTCATTTTAAATGTATTTGTTTTTACAGGGACGGAACCATAGCCCTTCTTGACCAGATGGTGGGTACCACAACCAAAGCGACTGCACGTGCTGTGCCTAGCACGGCTTCACTCAACCCGGCCACTCAGGCCGCAATCCTGGCTGCCGCTGCTGTCGCTCAGGTCAGGCATTATTTATAAAGGAGGCCAAAATTCAATTATGATATTTATATTATGATGAGCTATTTTATTAGTCGCGTGGGAAGCTTTTTATGTTTATCTTGGACCAATGTGTGCGACCTATCGACATTGCAATTGCGCCGTTTTGTACTCTTTGATTGGGTACACTAGCGCCAGAGTATGCCATTATAGTTCAATGGCATACTCTGACGCTAGTGTGCAATATGGATGACGTCTGATTTTTGTTTGTTTGTCCGTCAGGTAGATTGTTGAAAAATAATAAACGCGTATTTTTTTCGTAATCATTAAATTGCGGCGATACCTTGAGTTAAAACGTTACGCTTTGATACATTTTCTACAAAACCAGTCGTCATCTCTATCGCAATGTCGATTGGTCTCAATTGCTATCGAGAGTAAGGGGACTGTTGGTTAAGTTAATTTCGGTAAATACAACCTACGCATTTTAAATAAGATTTGAAAAAGCAAATAAATGAGAAAATAAATTATTTTCCAGCATAATGCAAATGAAAGAGAGGTAACAACTTTCATTAACATGATAAAAAAAGTAAATATAATAAATAAGTATTTAGTTGACAATGTCACAGAGACAATTTTTTTTATATTTATAGAAATACATCAGTTTTATGGTATGTAATTTAATAACATAAATAACAGCTTTAAAGGTCATAAATAATTATAAATGATTTTTCTTGTGAAAACCATCGGAGTCGTTTTGGAGATTCAGATTATTTAAAAATATCTAATTATTCACAAAGGTATAAATTTTTTTTATTTCTTTCAAAACATACTATCTTATTCCGATAACACGCGTGATTCGTATCGTTATATTTAATCAGTTCTGTATCCACAGCGCATATTATTAACGTTTAGAACAATAATATTCCCATACGGTAAATCGCGAAGGGGACTCCCAATTTTTTTGAATCAATGGCGAGCGCCTACGTCGGCCGAAATTAGTTCCGGGCACTTAATCTTCCGATCCGACTCCTCGTGTTGAGTGTGGAACGTTTAATAATACCGTCGCGTGCGGGGCGGGTTCGGCAGCAGACATTCGTGGCGGCGCGCCGCATCTCGGCGGCGGTGCAGCCCGCGGCGGCGGCGGCGGCGGCGCTGTCGGCCGCGAGCGCCATTCCCCCCCCCACCTCCGTGCAGCAGAAGCTCGAGCTGCTGCAGGCGCGCACCGAGTCCCGCTACCGGGACAAGAACCACCACCTAGACGACTATCATCCTGATGACGACAAGGACGACGGACAGGGTATATATATTAGGGTTGCTATAAATCCTCGAGGCCCCGTCGGGACATTTAATTTTTTTTTTGTATTGTTCGTTGCTGCGTTCGTTGGTGCGTCTTTAAAACAAAACCATTTGGAATTATTTATATTCATTTATTAATTATGTAGGATAACATAACAAAACATTATCATCATTCTTTTTGAAAAATAGCATCGCGAATGCTAAACAAAGTTTAAAGAAATAAACTATAACCGTAATTCTTTTTTATATTTATCAGATGATTTTACTTAGAACAGTGATCGTCTGTTACCTTTAACGAATGTATAAAATCCATCACGACGCATGTGAAAAATAATTTTTCATTATAGAATCGCTTCCACAGTGTCGACTCGATTATGTTTGTCGGGACATTATATAGCTTTATTCGTGCGAAACGACGAACGCGTCGCAGACGTTTCTGCGTCAGAATCTTGTCGAGTAGTAGGCTTTATTCGATCGATATGTTCCGTGTGCGGCGGCAGGGCCGGCGGGCGAGACGGCGGCGGAGCGGCGCGCGCGGCGGCGGCGCACGCGCTGGACGGGCTCCGAGCACGACAAGACCTTCATCCCCGGCCTGCCCACCGTGCTGCCCTCCACGCTCACCAAGGAGCAGGAGGAGCAGTATCTGCGTCAGTATTGCCACGCACGCACAGACACACACGCGCACACACACACGCACACGCACACACGCACACAAAACCGCCAGAGAGGTGCGCCGTCCGGAGATCGGTAGAGAAGTACGTTCTATGAGATCCGTGATGAAACCGAATCGATTTCACGGTTCCGGTGAGTTCCGACCGATATGGCGCCTCGACGATATGGTTTCCGAAGAGCAGACGTCCCTTTATCAGATTAAAATGTGTGACGAGACGTGCCTCCGGGAACCGTGAGGTGTAAATTCAACGTAATAGACGTCTCTCTCGCCCTCGGCGGGAGTAAGGCGCGCTACTATCGGTGGATCGCCCGAGGGCGTGATTAGTTATGTACTATCTAAGATGTCTGCGATCTGTAAAATGGAGGACTGGTAGCATCATCGACGTTATATTCCAGAACATAAGACTTAATAATGATTATATGTTACTGCCTTCCGAATAGCAGATGCACCCAAGATAATTAATCTATATGATTATATTAATAGATATAACTAATATTTGTATTTTTGTATGACACCATGAAAGTAATAATTTAATTGTCTTTTTTTCCATGTTACTTGAACTGAATAAAGTAATTAAACCGTAAGCAATTTACGCAATGTGTCATAATTAAGATTACATATTATTAGTAGTTCTATGTTATACCACTGTTGTTGTTTATGTTTATTGAGTGATACTGAATCATGCTATTTACCGCTCATCTACTTTTTTTATATTGATTCATTTTGTTTTTTTTAGCAATTTTTTAGGACTATCACATTTTTATTGATATGAATGTTTATTTTATCTGATGTGTATTTACTGTGATTAATTACTCTATATGTTTGTATATATTCTGTTAAACTGTTCTGTCACTTCAATTGATCAACATCTTATAAATTTACTATAAAAAAAATAGGTGTTAATGGAACATCAGCGAATAATATTGTGTTTTTAATATTGTTTTAATGAGATAGTTTCATATCTAAACGTTCAATTAAACCTTCATTCGTTTATACTAAATATATAAAAATGAAATAAAAAGAAATTGAAACATTCATCATTCTATTAAGTGAAACAAATCTTACATATATTGTAGCCTCAACTTGGAAAGTTTTACTGCAACGAAACAGCTGTTGTAATGAAATAACATTTCGTTTCAGCATCCGATTAATAATGCATATTTACAGGAATATAATAAGATTCCAGGGTTAGTGATTGCTATATACATGTGTATGAGTGATGGATATAGCAAGGTAGGTGGGGGGTGGGGGTGTGTGGTGGGTCGGTATCTAATGTTGGTTGGTTTCGCTGGTTGCTGGTTGCAGTTCAGCTGCAGATCGAGGAGGTGAGCCGCAAGCTGCGCTCCGGGGACCTGGGCATCCCCGCCAACATCGAAGAGAGGTTTGCCCGCTTCCATACTCCGAGACACGGCATGAGTATCATTTAATTAAGCCCCGCCCTAATCTTCTATGTTCGCAGGTTCAATACGTACATTAATGAAATTAACTATTAATTCGAATTTTAATTATATATTTGAATCATATTTTAGGCGCCAGTCGCCGCCGCCGACGCGTCCCCGCGCCGATGACGTAATAATCTTTGATTTTGCAGGTCGCAAAGATCCACTCTTTAACTATTAATTCTTTAACGGCCAATCATATAAAATTTAATCGATAATAATAATAATTTTTTCAGCGCCTGCTAACGATTAATCGATTATTTTCAGGGCTAACGATATTAAAATTTCAGGTCTAACGAAATAATTAGATTTTTTCCTCAGGGCGCTAGGTCACTCTTAGGATCGATTCGAAATACGTTTTTTATTATAATTTTTAACATTCATCCATTTTGTGTTTTTTAATGTGCGGTCTGGTCGTCGCGTATTGAGTTAACGAGTAGGTGACTTTATTTTAAGTGATCAAGTATGCGTAAACATACAAAATCACTCGAGATAAAGTTGACAGTTTAGTCAACCGAAACGTACAAATCTGCCACAAGTCACAAAGACACTTCCGGACGCCAAACGAGACCGAAACGTGTGAATGTTAAGTCTGCCCCGGCACGATACTCGCCCTGCGGACACGCACGCGGGTGGGTACAGTACCACACCGGTGCGTGCGTGTGCGTGCGGGCGTGTACGGTAGTGTACGTGTGTGCGTGCGCAGGTCGCCGTCGCCGGAGCCGATCTACTCGACGGACGGCAAGCGGCTGAACACGCGCGAGTACCGCACGCGCCGCAAGCTGGAGGAGGAGCGGCATCGCCTCGTCACGCGCATGCACCAGATCAACCCGGACTTCAAGCCGCCGCCCGACTACAAGTAACTGTACTATATGCGACACACCATACGCGATACGGAGGGCGCTGTTCTTTCTTCAATTTAAGGGGGCGATTCGCGTAATCCAATGATAAAATACGATTGGAAATTTTGTCAGCATTATCGGAATTGGCAGGTGTGCTCGATTCGCCCTAATTGTTGAGTTATGTTATACTATAGACTACATCGAACTTACGCGGTGCTGACTGTCGAATGAAATTCGCATTCTGGCGTCATGCACATCTTACATGTATGCGATAACGCTCAGTCAGAGTATACAAAACGAAATACTTTCAACAGGTAGTTCACGGTTTAGTTTAATTCAGACATTGATATTACCTTTCAGTGATTTATTTATCTAATTAGCTCACGCAACGAGTTACATACTTCTAAGAGCGCAGGACGCCTCGGACTTGTCTTTGGAAGTAAATTTGTTTACCGTTGAAAATTTCGAGTGAATAATGCTCGACTACAAGATAATCGTACAGGCGAAATGTACTAGTAATGGAATATAAAGAGGCCTTATTTCTGTGTAGATTTGCAATTAGAAAATATTGTTTTTATGGGGATTACGCGGTAATTTAGTAGAAACGAGAAACGGTGAGCCAATGCGTGCATGAATTATATTTTATTTATGTCGAGATGAAAGGTTGGACGTTTAAAATTTTTGTAGCTTTAGCTGGTAGGACTTGTATTCTGACCCAAATCTAGTTAAAACCCTCCCGATGCAAGTGATTGTCGATAGCTAGATTATTAATATTGTATAACAACGTGCCTCGTGTGCGCAGGCCGCCGATCATCCGCGTGCACGACAAGGTGATGATCCCGCAGGAGGAGCACCCCGACATCAACTTCGTGGGGCTGCTCATCGGCCCGCGCGGGAACACGCTCAAAGGTTATACTCGCTCTATACTCACTCGATACTGTGTCTATTTCGTTGATGTTAATTACAACTACTAACTGAAGTAAATCGTATTATAGATTTTAACTAGAACTATCTATAGTATTTCTATTCACCAGTTTTAATCAAAGTCAAAGTAAAAATAATTTTATTTAAATAGACTTTTTGAAGTAAGTAAACCTTTTTTTCTATCACTTGTTCCGGACGTCTTTTGGCTGATAAGAACGAATGAGAATCTCATTAGTAATGGAAGTAATGACATTTATTACACGGGAGTAACTCCACTTTTATACTTATTTGTTTAAATATATATATAAATATGAATAGCGTCATTCAATTAAATGGCCAACCTTCCGATTAAATATCTATTTTAAATAGGTGGCTGCGAAATATATATATATATATTTAAGGAACAATTAGAGAAAACTAAAGACTACCATTAGCTAAGAAATCACATCAAACCATTCTTTATTCAAATATTGTCTTACAATTAAAAATAACCATACTCGTGGGGTGGGCAGCGATGGAGAAGGAGACCGGCGCCAAGATAATAATCCGCGGCAAGGGCTCCGTGAAGGAGGGGAAGGTCGGCCGCAAGGACGGACAGCCGCTGCCCGGCGAGGACGAGCCGCTGCACGCGTACATCACCGCCACCAACGCGGACTGCGTCAACAAGGCCGTGCTCAAGGTATACCACCTCCCACTACCCACTTCATGGAGCGACGAGTTAGAGCGACCATCACGACGGACGTTTGTGTGTTGCGCCAGATCAAGGAGGTGATCCGGCAGGGCGTGGAGGTGCCCGAGGGGCAGAACGACCTGCGGCGCATGCAGCTGCGGGAACTGGCGCAGCTCAACGGCACGTTGCGGGAGCACGACGCGCAGCGCTGCGCCAACTGCACCGCCACCGACCACAAGACGTGGCTCGTACGTACCTCTACATATGTTGCTCTATATATAGACTACTCTATATATAGGTATACATGACGTATAATGTGTTGCAGTGCCCCGACAAGCCCAACGTGACCAACAGCATCGTGTGCTCGTCGTGCGGCGGCGCCGGGCACATCGCGCGCGACTGCCGCCACCGCCGCCCCGGCCACATGCCCGCGCCCGCCGACAAGGTACACTACACTATACACTACACTACACTATACACTATACACATCGCGCGCGACTGCCGCCACCGCCGCCCCGGCCACATGCCCGCGCCCGCCGACAAGGTACACTACACTATACACTACACTACACTATACACTATACACATCGCGCGCGACTGCCGCCACCGCCGCCCCGGCCACATGCCCGCGCCCGCCGACAAGGTACACTACACTATACACTACACTACACTATACACTATACACATCGCGCGCGACTGCCGCCACCGCCGCCCCGGCCACATGCCCGCGCCCGCCGACAAGGTACACTACACTATACACTACACTACACTATACACTTACACATCGCGCGCGACTGCCGCCACCGCCGCCCCGGCCACATGCCCGCGCCCGCCGACAAGGTACACTACACTATACACTACACTACACTATACACTATACACATCGCGCGCGACTGCCGCCACCGCCGCCCCGGCCACATGCCCGCGCCCGCCGACAAGGTACACTACACTATACACTACACTACACTATACACTATACACATCGCGCGCGACTGCCGCCACCGCCGCCCCGGCCACATGCCCGCGCCCGCCGACAAGGTACACTACACTATACACTACACTACACTATACACTATACACATCGCGCGCGACTGCCGCCACCGCCGCCCCGGCCACATGCCCGCGCCCGCCGACAAGGTACACTACACTATACACTACACTACACTATACACTATACACATCGCGCGCGACTGCCGCCACCGCCGCCCCGGCCACATGCCCGCGCCCGCCGACAAGGTACACTACACTATACACTACACTACACTATACACTATACACATCGCGCGCGACTGCCGCCACCGCCGCCCCGGCCACATGCCCGCGCCCGCCGACAAGGTACACTACACTACACTACTAATTTTTGAGAATACACTAATTTATTTTTGAGAATCGTTCACCGAACGCACTGGAAGCTCCCCACCTGCTTCTTTCGTGTTAACATCTCCAGGAATCTTTCTAATATGTCTCGAACGACTATTTCACTTTTATCGATCTGCCCGACTCGCTCGCCCGCTCGGGAGCTATCGCGAACGAAATCGACCCGCGATTCTCTGAAGACGGACGAGTCGAGTGCCACCGGGACGCCCGCCCCGCGATCCGGGTTCTCCTCGGGGGCGGGCGATCTGGCACGTCAGCAGTGCATGCTATACGAGGGCGTCGTTGTGTGCAGGCCAAGATAGACGAGGAGTACATGTCGCTGATGGCGGAGCTGGGCGAGGCGGCGCCCGCGGGGGCGGGCGCGGGGGCGGGGGCGGGGCCCCGGCGCTACCCGCCCGCGCTGTTCGCGCCCCCGCACGCCGCACGTCCCATCATGCCGCCCCCCCCGGGTATGATATCAGCTTTACATTACACATTCCTTCAAGTTTTTTAATACAACCTAGCTTTATTTTGGATTTTAAAGAAAATATTTTTTTCTTTATTTGTTATATTTAATAAATGTTACATCCACAATGCTATCCTGAACAATACTCACTACACTTTGTCTCTGGCATTCTGAAATGGAACTCGAACCCCTATGAATTGTCTGAACTTCGATGAAAATACGCTCTGTAGCAACGAAAAAGTAACAAATCCTTGAAAGAGTCGCTCAGTGATTAGAGCGGTTTCCCAAATTGCGAAAGGTCACCATGGGTTCGAGTCCCATCTCAGAGTGCCACGGATGAAATGGATTTTTCAAGCCTTATTAAATTTTCTTTTCTTTTTTTTTTTCTAATAACTTTATCGAAAACACCGTTGAGATGAAATGAAAAGTTTATGTGTAAGAAAACGGTCCCAGAACAGTTATTTCTGAGTATTCTATCGACACGGTCGATTAGCTCGGTGGCGTAGTGGATTAGCGCTGCGGCCCGTGATCGTAGTCGTTAAGCAACTTTCTCAAGGGTCGGTCACGGGATGGGTGACCAAAAAATTATTATCTCAAGCTACTCCGTGCTTCGGAAGGCACGTTAAGCCGTTGGTCCCGGCTGGGCCGCATTGGGCCAACGTGGAGGGTCATGGCCCATCCTCCTTAACCATCCATAAGGAAGGCCTGAGCCCCTGCAGTGGGGACGTAAAAGGGCTGATGATGATGATGATGATGACGGTAGATTAACTCGAATCATCCTTTTTTTCTTTCCCACTCGTACTATGCGCCTTTTGGCGTGAAAAGAACGAATTGAAGGACCGACGCGACAGTCGATTTTATACGTAATAATAAAATATAATAGCTAGGATATACCATAGATACGATATATGATATAATATCTGTATCGAATTTCACTACGATCACGAAAACGTAACAAACAAACAAATTGAAATTCTTTCGCAATTGAAATATTGAATCTCGTTTTGGCAGAAAATGTAGAATAAATAAAATTATTCCACTGAATGATTTGCAATTCATTTTACACGGATGTAAAGGGAGTGTGTATAGCTGTAACGTGTGTTTGTGCAGGCGGCGGCATGATGCCGATGGCGGGCGGGTTCCCCCCCGCGCTGCCCCCCGCGCCCCCCACGCTGCCCCCCTCGGCCGCCGCTCCCTGGCTCGGTATGATCACATCACACGCACACACCTACCGACCCCAATAATATGTACAACTACTACGTTTGTGTAATCTAATCTTAAGATTTGTTTGTTTGTATCGAATAGGCTCCGAAACAACTGGACCGATTTTTTTTTTACTTTCAGCTTCATCATACGGGTTGGGTCGCTTTATTTATGCATGTAAAGTCGCGAGAAAACAGCTAGTCTAGTTTTATAATAAAAAAACAGACAGGTATTTAAGTGGACATGTCACGTCGCCCAAGTGTACGATAATGATTCATTTCAATATGAAGAATGTCGTTTTCACTTTCCATCTGTGAATTTTGTTGTACAATCGCGGACATTGCCGCTCCTCCACCCGTAGGGTCAGTATCGCTTGCGCTTAGGCTAGCATAAAAATCTCACCCGTTTCATTGATAGATCGTCTATTTCGTTTACGCACGTTACATTTTTGGTATCCGCCTCAGCCAGCGCGGGTATGTCTAATTGAACTTTGGGCCGATTCTACAAGGATTTATTGATTTTGCTAGAATCCAAAATCAAAAACTTCGAATGCCCAAAAGTACTAAAAGTTTCGATTTTCGGGCTTAGTGCCCATGAGGACTTTTACTCAGGAAGACTTCCTCTATCCATTCATCATAGTTTCATCCGATTTGACAGAAAGCCAATTTCCATAAGGCAAGGGCGGGGTCCTTTACGATTTTTCGTGTATTTTTAAACAATAAATAAATCATTATTAAGATTGTCTGTAACTGTCTGGTAATCTCTTATCATATCAAATAATGAGCGACAAAGAGAATTATTTAATTATTTCATACTAATATTGTATAGCGAGAATAGGTCTGTGTATGTATCTGTTAACTTCTCATACTTAACCCACTTAAAATAGTTGACTAGATATAGGGCATAGATTGCTTTTTATTGTGATAAAAAAAGGTTGAAATAGGGATTTAAAGTTTATGTGGAAGTTGGTCAGATTAACAACTAAAAATACACGTCACTCACGGACAGTGAATTGCCGTCGGTAGGAGGGCGCGCGTGGGCGGGGCGTAGGAGACGCTGCAAGAGATACGTACATGCAAATATCGATGCGAATTGGAAGAGCGCAAATGTCCGCGATAGGACGTTTTTCGACAAATTATAATTTTCATCACGACTGGGTTATTATAACAGGCCACGTTTGACGTCTCCCAGTCTCGGCGTTAAATTGACCTTGGAATGGGGCTCCATATTATTATGAATTAAAGTAATAAAACTGTATAATTACAAATTATTAAAATAGGTAATAAATATTATTATCGTAATCGATAAATAAGTAAATTTAATGTTCGGATTTGACTAATAAATCTATTTAAATGTAAATTTGATAGACGTCAAGGGGCGGGCTTCTTATAACGACCCAACCGAAAAAATAGTCTGCGTCGAGGGAGATAAGCTCCCGATAAGAGCGTGTAGTGATGTATGTGTGTGTGTGTGTGTACAGCGGGCGTGGCGGGCAGCCAGCCGCCGCCGCCGGGCAGCGCGCCGCCGCCGCCGCCGCCGCACCACCCCCACCACCCGCTGCCGCCGCCGCCCCACCACTTGCACCCGCACCCCCACCCCATGCCGCCGCCGCCGCACCAGGTACGTGCCGCATGTTCATGATGTCCTCTTAGGTCTATGTGCGCATAGCGATTCATTTTCTGAGTTCTGATATGAGTGAGAGGAAAAAAATATATGTATTTATTTTCGTTTACTGTCTACACTCGTATTGTATTATATTTTTAAAGATGACTCGCAACATTACTTTGAATATATTTTCGCTATTTTCGTGAAACGTGAGTTTTGTATTTCTGAATTTGTGTGCGTTTGACTTGTGTTGGTTATTTCCTATTACTTTATTATTTTTTCCTGTATATTTCACCTATTTATTTTGTTTGTCATGTTTTGTTTTATTTTTAGATTCGTATATATATTTAATAATATATATTTGTGCACTCAACTATGACCTTTCTTCCGGAGGCGCAGTCCAAACGCGAGGACAGCTAGTGAAAACAGTACGTAGGTACTGCACTAGCCAACCTCACCTTGCCGACCTGCAAGGTGCTTCTTCACGCCCCGCTTGAAGGACCCCATGTCATAGGAAGGAGGGAATACATGGGCCGGGAGACAATTCCATTTTTTGGAAGTACGACAAAGAAATGAGTCGCCAAATTTCTTTGTACGCGAAGGAATCGTTGCCACAGTTAGTTGGTGGCAACGCAAACCAGCACGTGTGGTCCTGAGGAGGAAGGGAGATGGAGGGATAAGGGAAAAGAGTTCTTCAGAGCATTCACCATGGTAGAGACGGTAGAAGACGCTGAGCGAAGCAACGTCTCGGCGCAGTTGCAGGCTTTCTAGGTTCTTGGTGACTTCGCCATTGCCAATAATGCGTACTGCGCGGCGCTGCAATCTATCCAAAGCATCGAGTAAGTACCTAGCGGAGCCATCCCAAAGGTGCGAGCAATACTCCACGCATGACCGGACCTGCGTTTTGTATAGCAGGCACAGTTGTTCGGGCGTGAAAAAACGCCGCACCTTGTTCAGGACACCGAGTTTACGTGATGCTGTTTTAATAACAGACTCGATGTGGTTTTTGGGATTCAGATCACAGCGCACTTCCATCCCGAGCATGTTGATGCTGCTCTGTAGAGGCAAGGTTGTGCCCTGAAGAGAGGGAAGGGAAGGGAATGGAGGGGTCTTGGCGGTAAATACGCAAACCTGAGTTTTCTTGGCATTGAACTCAACCAGATTTTCAGCACCCCATTTCGATATGAGATCCAGAACGTGATTGAGCTCAATGACAAGATTCTCTCTTTTCTCCAGGATTTCCGCCCGTCCGACCGTAGGAGCCCCGTGATATCCCACATGCACTGTGCTATCGTCTGCATAGCAATGGATATTTCCAAGTGGAAGCATGTCATTGATATGCAGCAGAAAAAGTGTAGGGGATAGAACGGAGCCCTGAGGCACACCGGAATTGACTGACATAAGCTGTGAAGAGCATCCGTCAGAAAGAACACGGATTTTACGCTCACGCAGGAAGTCGGCTATCCAGGCGCAGAGTTGAACGGGCAGACCGTAGGCCGGAAGCTTGGAGAGAAGTCCCTTGTGCCAAACCCTGTCAAATGCCTTAGCAATGTCAAGACTGACAGCCAAGGACTCGCCGCGCTTGTCTATAGCTTCACCCCAGAGGTGCATGACGTGCGCTAGAAGATCACCCGTTGATCGTTTTGGTCTAAAGCCATACTGACGATCATTTACAAGGGAGTGATCTTCTAGGTATCGGATCAGTTGGGAGTTAATAATCCTTTCCAGGACTTTACACAGCACAGAGGTGATAGCTATAGGGCGGTAGTTTGCAGGGTCTGACCGATCTCCCTTTTTGGGCACTGGCTGCACAATGGCCTCTCTCCAAGCCTCAGGTACACGACCCGAAGAAAGAGATAGCTGGTATAGGCGCGTAAGTACAGGAGTCAACTCCGCTGCACACATTTTTAGAACAACCGCAGGTATGCCATCAGGACCACTAGCTTTCCGGACATCGAGTGACTGTAGTTCCGCACGCACATCACGCTGCCTGATATGAATATCAGGCATAGTGAAGCCACTAGAAGGTAACGTTGGTGGCAGTGCATTACAGTCATTGATTTGGGAATTAGCCGCGAAGAGGCTTGCCAAGAGGTCGGCTTTCTCCTGCGGCTTGTGAGCTAATGTTCCATCTGGACATCGAAGCGGTGGCAGCGAGGGCTGGCAGAAATTGTTTTGCACGGCCTTGGCGAGACGCCAGTAGCTACGGGAGCCCGTAGGGTGCGTAACTAGCTCATGGCCAATACGTGCGACGCGCTGGGCATCCGCTCTGATGTAAGCCTTCTTACAGGACTTGGAAGCCTGATTGTAGGCTGCTTTTATTGAGTCAATATCGGGATCCCTCCGAGCACGACCCCTGATCCAAGCTCGATATGCCAGCTGTTTAGACGCAACAGCGTTAGCACAATCGCGATTGAACCAGCGGTTGTGTTTGCCCATACTGATCAGATCGGAGTGCGGAATGTAGTATTCCATAGCAATACCGATCTCCTCAGTAATAGCAACGGCGCTCGTTGTCGGATCCTTCTCACAAAAGCAGCGCTGCTTCCAAGGAACGGATGCAAGGTACTCGCGCATGCCGTCCCAATCCGCTGAGCCATAGTGCCATACGCGTCGTCGAGTCCTCGGAGGTTGAGGGGGCTCGATTCGCGGCACTTTGGTGGATATCAAGCAGTGGTCGGAATTGCCCAGTGGGGCACGAACATCAACCTGATACCCGACGGGATGGCTCGTAAGCAGAAGGTCCAGTAAGGAAGGCGCTTGACCGACTATATCTGGGATCCTGGTGGGCTGATCGACCATTTGAGTCAAGTCATGCGTGAGAGCGAATGCGTGGGCTGATCTCCCAGCATGGTCCGTCTTGGAAGAACTTAACCACGATTCGTGGTGAGCGTTGGAGTCCCCCAAGAAAACCAGTTCTGCGTTAGGATACTGCTCCTGCGCGTAATCTGCCGCCCGACTGAGGTGGTCATAAAGTCGAGTTGTCTCCGCATCGCCAGTGTGGGATCTGTAGAGGCACACATAGACTCGAGTCTGATGACCTAAGTCCATATGTACCGCTCGCAATACATACCAAAAATCTGAAGCTACTAAAACTAAGACGTTTGTCTTAGTTTTTTCGTTTTTCACTTCATTACTCATTCAACTCCCGCCAAGAAAGTACAAAAAAATGCTCCGCAAAAACGAAGAAAAACAGTGGACAAAATACGATTCTCTTTCACAAATACACATAATACGAAAGAATATTAAGTTTCACACTTAAGTCATTAACATTTTTGGCAATAAATACAAAATTAAAGCTAGGTTATAAAATAAAAATATTTAATTTTCACAAATAAAATTTCGACATTTTGTCATCAGTGTTGCCACTGCTATTCACTTTCAATTTTCCCAAGTATATGGGAGCCTTTTCTTGTTATTTTACGTGGCTATAATTT